GACTTCCCAGTACAACACTGGGACACTTAACCCACTCCCCAGAAGCCCCCCCCCCCAAACACAGTAAAAAAGGAACTCACCTGGCCTCTATAGGAAGGCTGCTGGAGTTCTCCTGGCGCATACAAATGATGCGCCAGGAGATGGGGGGAGGAGGGAGTTTCATTTGTACATCCCATGGAGCCCGCGTGAGTTCTTTTCCTTTTTTTACTGTGTTTATGGGGGCTTCTGGGGAGGGGGTTGGTATTCCTACAGTTTTCCGGGCTAATTTAGCCCGGAAAACTGTGGGAATACTGTCTGGACTGCAATATTTTGCAGTCCCGACACTGGAAGTAGTGAGTTTATCCTTCACCTTCCACCCTGTTTTGTGGCGAATTAATTCCAAGTTGCCCACAAGGTTGTCTGGACAGCCCCCTTTTAATTGCAGAAGTTTCTGCAATAAAGGGGCTGTCTAGATCCGCCCTCTGTGGAATTTAATGTAATGAAGTCCTCATCAAGCATAAAACAGCACAAAAATACTGGTTCAAGGAATCAATTCTCACTATTGGATTTAATGCAATGGGAAAATAAAAGTTGGATGATTTCAGTAGTCTAATGACATTTCATTTCACGCTGATGAACATATATATTAGATAGCATTCAGAGATGAGTTGCAAGTTTGCAGTGTTCCTTGGGTAATTTCTAAATGATAAGGCAGAAATCACCCAATACTGTTCTCTGGAACCATCCTCTCAGATAGGAATAGAATTGCCAAAGAGTGTTGCTCCATGTTCCCTATTCCTTCAAATTTTTCAGAATAATTTGATGACCAAGAGATCCAAAAATGTCAGTGTGGCCACATTTTTCAACCTAGAATATCAAAGCTCTTTCTTCCTCATACTTACTACATTTTGCCTGTGAAGACAACGAGGAGCTACAACTGAGATCAGACAGCTGCAGAATCTCTTGCTAGAACTCAAGAATATTAATGTGAAATAAGCCCAGTAAATTACTCCTGTTTTCAGAAACATTCATTACTTAGTCCAGACTAATAATTAGTTCAGTTGTTCATCTTAAGCATAAGGTACAAATACAATCCCTTACATACAATCCCTTCTCCCCTTTTCCCCATGGCCCCAGGAACAGTTGTGGGCAGCCTTGCAAGTAGGACAAATAGACATGGCTGTCTCTGCTCATGTTCCTTGTTCCCGAGACTTGAAAGAAAGGAATGATGGAAATTTTCTCAAGGCTCAAGCAGGGATTGCTTCATTACAACTTGGTAAGAAGTTTATGTGCACCGTCATCATCATCACTTCCTGTTTAACCTCTTCAATTTAAAAAAACTACTGTACAAAACAAACTTTTTGATCTGTTTTTTTCCTAGGATGGGGGAGATCAGCCTTGTTGAAACTTGCCATACATTTTATGGCTGTTTTCAGATGGCAAAGCAATTTCTCCATTCTTACAGTCCTTTCCCAGGTCTAGGAATTCTGTGCCAAGTGATAATCTGTGAGAATGTGCCATGAAAGGTCAGGCTTTGACAGTATCTTTCTTTTCCAATTGCAACTGCAAATCACATAGGTCTCCCTCTCTTCTGGACCTCTGCAAAATGCAGAGGATTCACGTTCCATGATTTGGTGCAACTGTTGTGCAAAAGTCCTGCCATTCTGAGCAAACTGGAGGATCGCAAAGGCTCACTTAGACCAGGGATGGATGCAGACCTGGTGATCTGGGATCCAGAAAAAGAGTTTGAGGTAATGATAGGCATGGTTTGGCTTAATTGAGATTCATCTTTGGGGTCTAACACAGAATAAAAGCATAATATACATTTGTTAAGCAAAGCAAATGGTCAGAAGAAACAAAGTATTATTTGCTATAGAAAATCCAGGAAGTTATATTATGCCAGAGAGAAGATTAAAGATTTATGGTAGAGGCATTTGCTCTTAAAAGACTCCAGTATAAAAATAACAGCAGAACAGTTGTTTCAGTACATTGTTGCCAACATTGTCCAAAATTGGGACTCATAATTGAGATACTTTTAAATTCCATCTATGTTTCTTAGCAAGAAAGTATCCTTAAAAGACTGATTTTTCAGGCTGTGGAACCAACCATTATACAGCTGATGGTCTCAGTGCAACTTTGAGATGTTGTGATGCATGATAAGATCATGATTGACTTTCCACTTAATGACATACACCAGGACAACTTTGGCATATCGAGCCCCCAGTGGCACAATGGGTTAAACCCTTGTGCCTGCAGGACTGCTGACCGATAGGTCAGTGGTTCAAATATGGGGAGAGCAGGTTGACTTCCCTCAGTCAGCTCCAGCTCCCCATTCGGAGACATGAGAGAAGCTTCCCGCAAGGATGGTAAAACATCAAAACATCTGGATGTTCCCTGGGTAACATCTTTGCACATGGCCAATTCTCTCACACCAGAAGCGACTTGCAGTTTCTCAAATTGCCCCTGACATGCTTTTTATTTATTACCTTGGCATATGTTGGTTTTGCTCACTGCAGAGAGGAAATTAATTACCTCCCTCATGTAATGATCCCAACCATCATAAAATCCATCCATTTGATGCTGCCTTCTCATGACTATTTAGTGGCTTTTGGAGAATGAGGTGTGGCCAAGAAGCATCAGACTACGTGTCTGTAGCTAAACACAGATCAATGAAGTCATTGACTTAAACCATTGACTTGATGGTCTTCTGGGGAATGACATTTTTGTACATCTGAGAATAGTGGATAGCCACACATTGCTCTGGTGCCTTCCGCTTTCCACTGGCCACAAGAAAGAAAGTTTAATTTTGTATCAGGGAGACAAGGCATAGTTCTACTTGGTTGTATTTTACGCCCATTTTACACCTAATTTGCCCAAGTAGATCTAGTTTATGTATTCCAGTTCTTATGTATTCCAGTTCTTTGGGTTAAAAATATCTGCTTGGTAATAATATTTAAACTCAGCAATCTTTGCAAAATGAATATGTATAACAGAGCCTTTCTCTCCTTACTTCTCTCTCTCAGGTGAAGAAAGACATAATTCATCACAAGTGTAAGGTATGGGAAACGTTCATGTTCTCTACATTATCCCAGTGATATTACAGCTCCTTCCCCAACCACAGACAATTTGCCGTAATTTACTGTACAAATCACAGTTTCTTGGGGCAGACTTTACTGCTAGGTAAATATGTCCATTTTTGTTATGGTATCAACATTGGTGCAGAATAATGGTGATGATTCAGGAGACCTTCTAGTAGCCATTTCCGTTAGTTGTTCTAGTACCTAGGATGAGCCATGGAGAATTGCTATTCTACTGAAAGTTAATAAGACACTGCATGTGTAAGGAGGCACCAAATATTTCCTTCCGTAAGCATGTAACAAGTACAACTGCTGGCATAACCTTGAATTTATAGCAGCACAACTTTGAATTATTCCAGGGTGATGACCTCAACAGGATGCCAGCTAAGAGATTAGTTAAATTGCCTCCGTTTGTCACTTTTCTTATTGGAATAAAATTAACAAATAAAACCCGCAATATGGCCCAAGCCTTTCAGACTTCTTTATATTCCCCTAATCCAGTCTTTTGAAGCTATTTGGTCTTGGAATGAACCATGAACCGACAAAATAGACTAGGATCTTGAAGTGACTCTGAGGATAGTGGTAGGAGTCTATATAGAAGTAGAGCTAGGACCTTCACAGATGTACTCTTGTGCACAGGCCTAATGGTGTACAAACCACACTAGGTGGGAGATCAGATAAATAAGTACACATCAATAGGCTGGCAGGTTGTTCCTTCAAAATTAATATTTTTCAAGCAGAGTAGAACTTGGAAAGGTGAGGGAATGAAACATCTCACCAGGCTTCAGGTGACTCACTTTATTTAATCACATTGCGCACTCTGGCTCTTTTCCTTTTGCTGCAGTCATTGAAGGTACTTGGGAGTGGACCAGAACAATAACATACATGGCAGAAGACTCTAGATTTTATACTCTTGTTATTAATAATTTCTCTGTTTTTCCTCCCAAATCTAGCTGACTCCATACTTGGGTTTCCAGCTTTGTGGCGAGGTCTTTGCAACCCTTGTACGTGGCAGGCTGGTTTATATGGATGGAAAATTTGCATCCAAGGCACAAGGAGAGCTGCTTGTGTCTGAGAGGCAGATTCCCACAAAAAATCCATCACCATACTATTAATGGGGAGACAGAAAACAACAAATGCAGTAGCCACATCAAAGTGCAATGAACAAATCTAGACGGAAGAATAAGACGAACTATAATGTTGGCTGGAGAGAAAATGAGGGAGAATTAATATTATAAGGCAACTACCAACACACATCCTGTAATCAAATTGAGTAAGAGGAAGTGCTGATCCCCCTACATAACAACTGCTGAATCAGGAGAGGCCCTTCTCTCAGTCCCACCTCCATCTCAAACTTGGTTGGTGGGAACGAGAAAGCGGGCCTTCCTTCTCAGTGGCTGCCCCTTGACTTGGGAACTCCCTGTCCAGTGAAGCCAGAATGGCCCCTTCCCTGCTTTCCTTCCGGCAGCAGGTGAAAACCTTTTTATATAAACAGTCTTTTAAAGATGGTGTTTGAGATCTGGTTGGGGGTGCTGTGGTTTGTAATTTTGAAGATGTTTGATGGATTTTAACTAAATTTTTAAATAATACTGGTTGTGTTTAATTTTGTTTTAATGTTTATATATTTGTATATTTTAAATTGGATACCAAAGCTTTTATGTCAAGTCGCTTTGAGATAAAGCGGGGTATAAATAAACATCACCATCATCAATATCAACATCATTACTAAAATGAAGACATCAGTGCCATCTAAAAATGGAATAGATGGGGACATATTCATGTATTTATAATTAGTGGGAAACACTCACATTTCTTGCTCCCCAGGAGCTTGGATGATGCTAATAAAGATGTCAACCATCAATGGGATTTGTTGCTGGTTTTTCATTTTTAAATATTTATTTTGTGAATTCCCTGTCAGCTTACCTGCTTTAGTGTGACACAGAGACAATAATTCAAGCTATCATTGAGTTGTCAGTATGTATTGTTTCACGGTGGTTGTGTGCGTGCCTTCAAGCGAATATGATGATCCCATGAATTTCTTAGGGTTTTCTAAGCAAAGAAGACACACAGAAGTAGCTTTGCATATAGCTTTCAAGATCAGACAAGCTTTTAAGGATTAGCTTTCAAGATCAGACAAGATCTAGTGCCTTTGCCTTTTGTATTTCATCCCTGGTTGTTACAATCTTAGAAATTAGACAAAGGCAGACATTTCTGATGACTCATATTCAGTTTGGTTTCCAATCAGGCTATCTAGCTTTAGTCGTGTGCATCTTGAATACTTTTCACATATTCTTTATAAGGTAGTGTCACATTTTAATTCTTCCCTCAGACAATGTACATTGCATTTCAATCAAACTTATGCACACTGCTCTTCTTTCATAACTTAACATATGTGAGGTTTAGCTCTGCTGCAGGCAAGCAAAAGAAAAGAAAAGCCCACTGAGTCATTTGTTTTCTCCTTTGGAAATCCATGCAAACAGAGTAAATGCAATTAAACAGAAGGGCAATGTTTTCCTTTGCTTGTGTTGTACTACAGCACACATTCTGCCAGAACATTTGGACAGAACTGTTAAGAGCTGGCAAGAATTCAGAAAGCAAATGAATTCTAAACAAACAAAACCAAGAGGGGTTAATATCTAAAATACAATTAAAATGTGTACCAGTAAAAAGGAGGATACTCAGAGCTAAAGGTGTGATCTGATATGCAACAGCTTCCTGAAAGTGGTGCGGAGGCACTCTACAGAAAATTATGGGAAGGGCAAATCATTCCATCCCTTTGGCCAATTCCAGTTACTCACTTGTACATAAGATGACTTATTCCCATTAGTTCCATTCCAATACTGGTTTTAAAAAAGCAATGAATGAAAACACTACATGAAACGGCAAAATGAGAAAAGGTTTCTCAAAAATGTCTCAATGTATTGAAATGAAATAATTTTAAATATGATTTCCTTCTTCAAATGAAATTGAATGTAATTCAGAAATGCCATGACCCAAAAACATTATATTGCTAGAAGGGAAAATAATTACACGTTGCTATTTGTTAATTTTTTTACTCCCTAGAGAGACTCTCTCTTGAGCACTCAGAATACTGGGCAATTTGGAAGGTGCTGAACAGACTGCTCTCTGGCACCATGAGATGCAGAGCCAATCTTAAGAAATGGTGCTACAAAGCAGAGGTGGCCCTAGGTAGTTTTCAACGGTAAGCAAACAGTCTTTTGGCGCGCCCCCCTCCAACCAATCACTGATATATATTTTCTGTTTGTCGTGGGAGTTCTGTGTGCCATATTTGGTTCAATTCTATCATTGGTGGAGTTCAGAATGCTCTTTGATTGTAGATGAACTATACATCCCAGTAACTACAACTCGCATATGTCAAGGTCTATTTTCCCCCAAGTCGCCTCAAGAGCGCCCCTGGGCAAAATCAACTATACCGTGAATGCTTACTTTGCGTAATGGGTTGAGCCGCCCCTGCTACAAAGTGAAGTCCACGACATGCGAGTATGGAGAAGAGAAAACTACAGACCACTTACTACAATGCAGTCTGAGCCCTGCCACATGCACAATGGAGGCCCTTCTTGCAGAGACACCAGAGGCACTCCAAGTGGCCAGCTACTGGTCAAAGGACATTTAGTATAATGCCAAGTTTTTAACTTTGTTTGTGTTTTTAAATACATTACAACTGTACCCTCAATTCACTTCTGACAAGATAAATAAATAAACTCCTTTACTAATGTAAAACTTTTAATGGCTGTTCCTGGCAAACTATTAACAGAGATGCCATTAACAGCTCAAGGCTGAAAAGCTACAGTTTAAGAGCAAGATTCACATTTTTTAATGTCTTGTGATTTACAATATTAGCAGATTTTAGAAGAGTCCAGTAATTCAGACTCTCTGGGATCAAGTATTGAGGGAAACAACAACAGGTTAATCTCAAAATAGAGCAAAAAATTGGGCAAAATGACTCCAGAAGTTTGATTGAGTGATATTTAACTTTTCAGCTCCTATAGGTGTAGAATTCTCAAACAAAGAAGGCAAAACATCGAGAAAATAGAGCTGTCCAGAAAACAAACAGAGGAATAACTTGCTTGGAAGGTGTAGGCTACGGCTGCTGCTAAATCCTATGAACAGAAAAGCTTGAGGAGGCCAATAACAGAACAACCTAGGCTCTGGATCACTAGAAGATTTTTTTTAGGAGAGGGAGGTGCTCCAGCCTTTATCATATCTAAGATCTGTTTGCTTTTCCCTGACCCTCTATTTAAGGTCAGTGATGGGCAGTGTTTTCCTAGTGCAACAGACAACCAACTGGGCTCGTGTTTGCCTGCCTTTGCTTTCAGCTCAGAGTTGCCGCACCATGTCTTCTCAAAAACTTCAGGTGGCTCCCCCTGCGCCTCTGCTACGACCCATGTTTGTCCCTGAGAGGCTTTTAATGGGTCCTGGACCTTCCAACTCCTCACCGCGGGTCTTGTCTGCAGGTGGTCGACAGCTAATAGGACATATCCATAAAGAAATGATTCAGGTAAGTGTTAGAATCCAATTCCTCAAAAGACTTGTAACCACAAACTGGTATATCATCCTTCATCTTGTTGTTAATCAGCTCTGAGGTATCACTCTAGCCCTCTGCTTAATTTTTCCTTGATCTATTCATTTGTTGTTGTTTTATGGTTCCTTAAATTTTTTCCCATTACAATTCTTGACTGAACACCACCATTCTTTAACCAGTCTATTTATCAAATCAGAAGAAAGTTGAGGAATTATCTTCCCTTTGGGTGGGCTTAGTCTTTACACTTGAATGGGACTGTTAGATCCTCTGGAATGGCAATATGATTCTACTATACCCAAATGAGCTGCAAACTTTTGTCTTAATTCACTAGGTTTATTGTTAATCTTTGAAGAATTAACTCTTTTAAACTTATATGATCTACTGCTGTTGTGGACATACACTTTCCTGAATTTCTTTCCTTTACTTTCAAGCGAGAAATATTGTTTGATTGCCATTGGAAAGACAATGCCTCTAAAATGGAGGTATATAATGTCTGGGTTTTTTTCTGTGTGTGTCAGAGGCGACTTGAGAAACTGCAAGTTGCTTCTGGTGTGAGAGAATTGGCCATCTGCAAGGATGTTTCCCAAGGGACACCCGGATGTTTTGCTGTTTTACCATCCTTGTGGGAGGCTTCTCTCACGTCCCTGGATGGGGAGCTGGAGCTGACATAGGGAGCTCATCCGCGCTCTCCCCAGATTCGAACCTACAACCTGTCGGTCTTCAGTCCTGCCAGCACAAGGGTTTAACCCACTGTGCAACTGGGGGCTCCTTGACACTTCTGCTTATAACCTAGAATACGGGGCATCTGTGTTGACTCAGAAGTTTCCTAGTTCCAGATGGATTTCTCCTGGTGTTTTCCTCTTTAACCAAGATTTTGTGGCAAAAAAGAAAAAGAAAAAAATGGAAGGAGTTGTGGTCACAAGTTGAAGGAAATAATGTCCAGACTCCCTGTGCAATCAGCAAACGAGGCATGATAATTACATAATAAAAGTCTTGTCCAACATTGTTGAGAGATTAAGAATAAGGCCCTGTTCATAATTTAATATACCATTTCAGACAACCTAGGCATTCAGCTTTTTAGTTTCAGTAGGTGTTAGAGTTTAAAATTGCCCTGAACAGAAGACCATGGCTATTCCTTACCAGAAATAACACAATGAAAGCAACCAACATTTTTTCGTTATAACAAAAAATAAATAATCCCACATACAGAACCCCATGTCTAGTAGGGTCACTTCTCCACTCTAGCATCATTTCAGAACAGTTAATGGCTCTGGATTCAGCCACTTTTGGTTCTTTTTATCCTTTTATCCAAGTGTATATATAACGTCTATTGCAATGGGTTGTTGTAGGCTTGATGTATTGTCGAAGGCTTTCATGGCTGGAATCACTAGGTTCTTGTGGGTTTTTTCAGGCTATATGGCCATGTTCTAGAGGCATTTTCTCCTGACGTTTCACCTGCATCTATGGCAAGCATCCTCAGAGGTAGTGAGGTCTGTTGGAATTAAGACAATGGGTTTATATATCTGTGGAATGGCTGGGGTGGGGCAAAGAGCTCTTCTCTGCTGGAGCCAGGTGTGAATGTTTCAACTGACCACCTTCATTAGCATTTGAAGGCCTGGCTGAGCCTGGGGGAATATTTTGTTGAGAGGTGTTAAGATGTGCCTGGTTGTTTCCTCTCTGCTGTTTTGCTGTTGTAATTTTAGAGTTTTTTAATACTGGTAGCCAGATTTTGTTCATTTTCATGGTTTCCTCCTTTCTGTTGAAATTGTCCACATGCTTGTGGATTTCAATGGCTTCTCTGTGTAGTCTGACATAGTGGTTGTTAGAGTTGATCCAGCATTTCTGTGTTCTCAAATAATATGCTGTGTCCAGGTTGGTTCATCAGGTGCTCTGCTATGGCTGACTTCTCTGGTTGAAGTAGTCTGCAGTGCCTTTCATGTTCCTTGATTCGTGTCTGGGCGCTGCGTTTGGTGGTCCCTATGTAGACTTGTCCACAGTTGCATGGTATATGGTAGACTCCTGCAGAGGTGAGAGGATCCCTCTTGTCCTTTGCTGAACGTAGCATTTGTTGGATTTTCTTGATGGGTTTGTAGATTGTTTGTATGTTGTGTTTCCTCATCAGCTTCCCTATGCGGTCAGTGGTTCCCTTGATGTATGGCAGGAACACTTTTCCTCTGGGTGGATCTTCATCTTGACTCTCGTGGCTTGTTCTTGGTTTTGCAGCTCTTCTGATGTCTGAGGTGGAGTATCCATTGGCCTGTAGAGCCCAGTTGAGGTGGTTCAGTTCATCTTGGAGGAGGTGGGGTTCGCAGATTCTTTTTGCACGGTCTGCCAAGGCTTTAATGGTGCTTCTTTTTTTGACTTGGGTGATGGTTGGAGTTTTTATGTAGATATCTATCTGTGTGTGTGGGTTTTCTGTAAACGGTGTGACCCAATTGTTGATCTGGTTTGCGGATGACTAGGACATCTAGGAAAGGCAGTCTTCCTTCATTTTCTTTTTCCATGGTGAATTGGATTTTTGGGTGGATGCTGTTCAGATGGTCCAGGAACCTTTTGAGTTCTTCTTCTCCATGGCTCCAAATGGTAAAGGTGTCATCCACAAATCTGAACCATATAGTGGGCTTTTTGGTTGCTGTCTCCAGGGCTTGTTTTTCAAAGTGTTCCATGTAGAAGTTAGCTATGACCGGGCTGAGAGGGCTCCCCATAGCTACTCCATCTTTCTGTTCGTAGAATTCATTGTCCCACTGAAAGTAACTGGTGGTGAGGCAATGGTGAAACAGAGCCGTGATGTCTTCTGGGAACCTCTGGTTGATGAGTGCCATGGTGTTTGCTACCGGGACCATGGTAAATAGAGATACCACATCGAAGCTGATCAGTTTGTCGTTGGTATTTAGCTTGAGATTGCTGATTTTTTCTATGAAGTGGGCTGAGTCTTTGATGTAATGTGTAGTGAGCCCAATATGGCTTTGTAACTGTGCAGCAAGAAATTTTGCTAAGTCGTACGTGGGGGATCCAATGGCAATCACGATGGGTCTGAGTGGGGTGGAGTCAATCCTCACCAAACCCTTTGTGTGTTTTCTGTTAGTCATAGGAGTTCTGTCTGACAAGATTGCTTCAATTCCATCATTGGTGGAGTTCAGAATGCTCTTTGATTGCAGGTAAACTATAAATCCTAGTAACTAAAACTCCCAAATGGCAAAATCAATGTCCCCCCAACCCCACCAGTATTCAAATTTGGACATATCAGGTATTTGTGCCAATTTCGTCCAGTGAATGAAAGTACATCCTGCATATCAGATATTTACATGATGATTCATAACAGTAGCAAAATTACAGTTATGAAGTAGCAATGAAAATAATTTTATGGTTGGGGGTCACCACAACATGAGGAACTGTCTTAAGGGATCGTGGCATTAGGAAGGTTGAGAAACACTGGTCTAGTGGATACTTTTCCCCCACTCTGAGGATTCGTAGATGTAAATATGCACACACAATGCCAGTTTTGGGAAAGCTATTTGAAACTGATTGTTTTTTCTATTGTCCTCAGATTATGGATGAGATCAAGGTGGGAATCCAGTATGCCTTCCAGACACAGAACCCCCTTACACTTGCTGTCAGTGGCACAGGTCATTGTGCCATGGAAGCATCCCTCCTGAACGTGGTGGAAGAAGGAGATAAAGTATTGATAGGCGTGAATGGATACTGGGGTGAACGAGCAACTGATATTGCCAAGAGGCTTGGTATGTATTCTAAATACTTTTGCTGTGGCAGGACACTCAGTGCAACTAGCACACTGGATATGTCTGGAAGGGACATGAAAACACTTCTGGTTTCAGAACTGGCCCATTTAAATATATTTTTCTTTTCCCCCCCCAAGGTTTGTGGGGGAGAGGCTTGAGGAGGCAAAACTGCTATGGTTTTCAGTGGTGAAATTTGGAGGCTCTCAGGGGCTCTGCGGGCTGTATCCCAAGAGCAGCATGGAGCCAACAGATCAGTTTGCCCATTTCTCTATTAAACACTATGGAAGCCTCGGCTTTTCTATTAAATAGTGCCTTTATTATTACACTCTAAATCAGGCTCTATTTTTAATGCAGCAACTGTAGCTATAATCCTATATTCAGTCACCTGGATTAAGCCTAATTGAATTCAGTGAGATATAATTCTTACTAGGCATGTTTAGAATGTACATGTTTTATCACACAAGTTATGAAAAGGATTAATTCCCTGCAGCCTTTCTCAATTTGCGCTTTGTATTGTTAATGCAGATTATATAAAGGATTTGGATGGCTTGGCTTCCTAATATTGACCTTGCTATCATTAATATTTAAGACAATTCAAAGTTGATTAGCATTTTAAAGACTAATGAAGTTAAGGTGACGTAAAGTGCAAAAGTATTCTCCAACTCAATTCCTTCCAGATATGTCAGACTACAATTCCCAGTATGCTTTGTGAAAGTGTTGAGACTTGTACTCCAGCACATGTGTGATGAACAGATCCAATAGGGAAAGGTCTAGAGCAGTGGTTCCCAACCTTTTTTTTTTTGACAAGGGACCACTTTGACCAGGGACCACTTTGACCAGGGGCCACTTTGACCAGGGACCACTCTCCAACATTAGTACCAAAAGAGTTACGAATCAGTTTTTGGTCAACTTTAGATTTGATTTGGGGTGCTGATTCAGAAAATTGCACTTGATAGACCACATCAGCTCTAATTTCTGATACAGAACATATGCCTTCCAGTAGTCACCATCTGCTCGTCCTTATTTAATAAGTCTTGGCACTATAAGAGGGTTTCGTGAGACCAGTCGCTCTCATTGCAATGGATAGTAGCTATGAGGCTACTTGACCACATTTTAGTTCTTGCAGGCCACTGATGTTCCCCGGACCACAGATTGGGAATCACTGGTCTAGAGGAGGGGTAAGCAAATGGCAGCTCTCCGAAACTGATCAGACTGCAACTACTGTTTGGATTGGAAAAGGAGTTTCTATTATTGTAATTATTGTACAGAAAATGGGGTCCAAATACTATAAATAAACAAACAAACAAAGACAAAATAGGACAAAAAATACCCATACAAACATCAAGAAGAATTTTCTGGTAGTAAGAGTTGTTTAGAGTGGATTGGACTGCTTTAGAGGGGGATGGACACTCCTGGCTATTTTTTGGGAGTACTTTAGTTGTGTATTTTTTAATGTTGAATTAATGAATACATTTTATTGTGACATTCACAGACCAGGAGTACAAAGCATTAAAACATTAAAATCAGAGGTTTTGTCCCAGATGCTCTTGTGGTTCCACATCCCAGATACAGTGCTTGATAACAGATTTGGCTTTGTCATATACAAGACCTATTGACCCTTGAGATCTAAACCCAAGATTTCCCTTAATGTTAAAGGCTAGCTCAGATAGCCTTTATGGTCTCTTCCAATTCTATACTTCTATAACCTAGGACAGCTTGGAAATGCAACTTTGGTTCCTGTCCCCAAAAAAGGTGGGATATACATTCATTCATTTAATCAATCTGTCAATCAATCAGTCCCTAGTCAAAATGTCAAAAAAAGGTTGGGAACCACTGATGTAGACCAAAGGACTGGTTGTACTTTGATTTCATTTCAGATATAACATATGTTTATTTCATCAAATAACATTGGTTTCAATAATTAAATGCTTAATTCCTGACTGATGTTTAATCAAATTATACTCTGAAGATTCCCATGGAATGTGACTGGACTTTGACAGTCTACTACTGTGTAGTCAAGTTAATACATGACTCATTTCAAACAAAAAGCTGGTGCCTTTCAAATATCACTGACTGTGATCTGCTTCCCTTCTATCACCCTACCACCCAGGAATATTGATCCATTTCCAATGTTTTATAATTGGAGGCAGAGGAAGCTGCCTAATACTGAGCTACATCTTTAGTCCATCTGGGACTTTCTGCCTGCAGAACTTTTGCTACTACTACTGAACTACTCTTATGCTCCTCCTTCAAATAACTGACATTAATTTTGTACTGATGTCCAAGAAACATAATCTTTTATCAATGTCTTCTAGGAGCTGAGGTATATCAGCTGGTAAAAGAACCTGGAGAGTATTTTACTTTGGAAGAAATAGAGAAGGTGAGTTGAGTAGTCAAAGCATGTTGAAAATCTAGTGTTTTCAGAGTAGTCCCCCCTTTTTCCCCTTGTAGAGGTGGCTAGAACCACTTAGTCCTTAGATAAGTTTCTGGTCCCAATTCAAAGTGCAGTTCATTACCTATAAAGTCCTAAACTATTAGGGTCCAAACTATCTTTGTGACCACATGTTCCCCTATGAACCAACGCGGTCTTTAAGATCTCGGGGAGGCTCTCCTCTCAGTCCTGCCGTCACAAGTGCATTTGGTGGGGACGAGGTGGAAGGCCTTCTCGGGGGTGTCATCCCCCCCCACCGACTTTTGAGAATACCTAGTCCCTAGTTGACCTACACAGCTGTTATGCAGCCTTGCATTTTATCCCATGCCTCTTCCCATGATTATAACTTTGCATTTATCCCATTCCCAGTTTGATTGTTTACAGCCCGGTCACTTTTATAGTAGTTTACCCCATTGGTAATGAGTGCTGTTTTTAAGTGAGTGTTAGTTGTTGTTTATAGACCTATATGTTTTATTTAATTATATGTTTAAATTGTTTTCATTTTATGTTGTTATTAGGCACCTTGTGCCGGGTGAAAGCCATCCCGAGTCCCTTCAGGGAGATGGTGGTGGAATACAAGAATAAAGTTGTTGTTGTTGTTGTTGTTGTTGTTGTTGTTTTAGACCACACCTTACCACGTTGAGATATAATTCATTTATATTAGTATGTATCCCATCTTTTTGTGGACTTGATGCATACTATATTCAGAAGGGATGCATACTCACCCCATAACACCTTATTATTACAATACTTACAATTTGGAAATATTGCACTTTGACTCCTTGCACCATGGAAGGTTGGCTCCTCCCAATCCATTCGAAAGGCTCCTACATCACTTTTTTTCAAATATTGCACAGTGATGTAGCCTGGAAGTTTTGAACTACCATTCTCGCAACATTTTAGCTCACAGAATACATACTGATTTATCAATCGCACGTAAAAAACAGCATCTCAGCAATATATAAAATCGTTGTATTGTCGAAGGCTTTCATGACCGGAATCACTAGGTTCTTGTGGGTTTTTTTCGGGCTATAGGGCCATGTTCTAGAGGCATTTCTCCTGACGTTTCGCCTGCATCTATGGCAAGCATCCTCAGAGGTAGTGAGCATCCTCACTACCTCTGAGGATGCTTGCCATAGATGCAGGCAAAACGTCAGGAGAAATGCCTCTAGAACATGGCCCTATAGCCCGAAAAAAACCCACAAGAACCTATAAAATCGTTGTAAATCAAATAACACAGTTAGAATCCCTTGTGCTATTACTCCATTTCTACAACATTTTGCAGTAGGATCATAACTGATTACTGATGGAATAGGGCTATCGTCATGTAATAGGACCCATTTGGAATCATGTTCAAAGAGTCTCCAAAATGGAGTATGTTCCAATGTGATAAGGTGCAATCCTCCTATCTCTTGTTCTTATATGATTCTTCTCTCCTATTCCTCTCATAGGGTTTGTTGCAACATGCTCCTGTTTTGTTCTTTATCACCCATGGAGAATCATCCACAGGAGTAATGCAGCCACTGGATGGCCTTGGTGATCTCTGTCACAGGTCAGTAGGGTCACAGAGATGGGTCACAGGTTAGTAAGGTCATGGGGAAGATCACAACGTCATTTACCTAATCGATAAGATTGATGGATGCGCCATAGGAATAGCTTTGACAAAGGTGATACAGTTGGATTTTCTTTTCCCTCTAACAGCAGGGAATTTGGGCACAGCAAGCCAGGGGTTAATGAATTAACATTTGGGTGCAAAAGACCAATGAGCTAAACATTTACCAGAAAAATGTGCTATGTCACAATTAAATAGAACCCACAACTGACGAAGAATGAAGTTTGTTAATGCTGGCTCATAGACCTGGTGTTTCAGGACATGGGTGGAGGAGAGCCTCATTAATTTTAGGGACTAATATAGCCTGCAAAAGCAAAGTGACAGATGAAAATAAATGCAAAATTAACAGAATTCTCTCCGATAAAAGCATTAGCAATAGTATTATCCTGCTAAGGCTCAAACTACATATTACATAGTGTTCTAAGGTTGTTTTGTTTTGTTTTGGCTGAGAAACACAAAGCAGTCGGGTGACAAAACTGAAATGAAGTTAGCTAGACATAGAAGCTGTTGATCAATTTTAAGCTTCCTATTATTTACCATATTAAAAAAAACCTTTTTGCCTTCAGCTGTTTCTTCAAATTTCTCCAAGTTGCTTTGCTGTCATGAAGGGAAGAATAATATTGATACTTGTTATAAATATCTTTATACATTTAAAAAAAAACTAGGAAGTGTTATTTTGAATAGTTCACCCCAAAATGAGTTAGGTAGACTTCCATTATGCAGGTGTAAAGTATATACTTAGGCGATCCCTAGTTGTCAGAGTATGATGGCCTTCCAAGTATAGTGTCCTGGAGGTGGATACGTAGGTGACTGTGGAAACCTGTTCTTGATCCGCATATTCTTCCACAGTGAGGACATTGGTTTCCAGGTGGAAGGCAGTCCCTTTCAGGGTTGGCTTGTTTTTTCCTTTCACCTTCCATTTGAGCCTCTTTGAATTCCACAGCACTGCTGATCACAGCTGACCTCCAGGGAAAGCACTTAAGGGTCAGGGCTTCCCAGTTCTTGATGTCTATGCCATAGTTTTAAAGGTTAGCTTTAAATCTCTTTTCTTGCCCACCAACATTATGTTTTCCATTCTTGAGTTGGGAGTAGCAACTGCTTTGGGAGATGGTGATCGGGCATTCAGACAACGACGTGGCCAGTCCAGCGCAGTTGATGGCATAGGAGCATCGCGTCAATGCTGGTGGTTTTTGCTTCTTCCAGCATGCTGACATTTGTCTGCCTATCTTCCCAAGAGATTTGCAGGAGTTTTTTTTGGAGGCAACGCTGATGGAATTGTTCCAGGAGTTGAGTGTGATGCCTGCAGCATATACACATTGCTATGATTAAACATTATATTAGAGGATATTATGAAATAATTCCAATGTAAGATGCCATCTGAACTGCGCTGGACTGGCCACGTTGTCTGAATGCTCGATCACCATCTCCCAAAGCAGTTGCTACTCCCAACTCAAGAATGGAAAACATAATGTTGGTGGACAAGAAAAGAGATTTAAAGATGGACTTAAAGCTAACCTTTAAAATTTGTATCTCTACACATCCCTCATGATGCCCAGCCTTAAGCAAGTGTATCTGGGGAGTGCATTCTAAGTTTCTTTCCCTTCTTTATTTTTTCTTTAGGTATAATTGCTTACTATTGATAGATGCTGTAGCATCACTAGGTGGAGCTCCAATCCTCATGGACCAACAAGGTGAGCAACTATTATTGTAAAGTGAAGATTTGTCACTGCTTTTCATTCTGGAGCATTTTAACTTTTACACCACTGTTTTACAAAATAACATGGCAAGAAAAGAGTTTATCAAGAGTCCTGAAATGAGATACTAAATAGAGAAAGAAAACAAGATCCACATTGAAACCACAAGGCCATGAAATGCTAGTCAAGGTGGCCAATTGCAACATTCACACCTACCTCAAACAGACAAGAGTTCTTTCTCCCACCTTGGACATTCCACAGATATATAAGCCTCACTTGCCTAGTTTCCAATAGACCTCATAACCTCTGAGGATGCCTGCCATAGATGCTTCTGAAACATGGCCATACAGCCTGGAAAACTCACAACAACCCAAAGATCCACATCACTCCTCTACAACAAACATATTTCCTATTTCTATCAAGTGACAGAACTCGTAACAAAGTTTTGCTCTTATTGAACACACAGGAATTGACATTCTCTACTCGGGTTCCCAGAAGGTCTTAAGTGCACCTCCAGGCGCTTGCCCCATTTCTTTCAGTGAAAGAGCCAGGTGAGTGTTTGCCTATGAGGTATCTCATTTTCAGAGGATTTGCTGTGCCTTCATATGTTGTTGTTATTATTATGTTTATTTATATCCCATTTTATGTCTCCTGAAGGAGACTCAAAGCGGCTTATATTAAAAGTATTACCACACAATTTAAAACATACAATTATTATTTAATGCAAACATTAAAACAGAATTAAACATAACAGTATTTAAAAATTCAGTTAAAATCCATTAAAACATATTCAAAGTTAAGAACCACAGCACCCCCTGACTTGATCTTAAAAACCCTTTTTTTTTTAAACCGTGTCTTGTGATTACCTTTGAGGCATAGTCCCTGCCACTCAACGCAAAGTAATTTCATTCTGTCAGCGCTGACCTGTGTCGAAAAGGATTAGTCTGTTTGAGAGAGGTGTGGATAACCAACTAGACTCAGGTGGTCTCTTTGGATATCTTTTAGTACCCCAGCAGCAATGGAACCTGCTGGAAAAAAGGATTCGATCCATTGGCCAAAAACTTAGCAAGGCCTTAATATGAAGGATTTTCAAGGAAGCATTAATGAAAACTTGCAGCATGTAAAATAATTGCATAAATTAGTATAAAACTGATAAAAATAGAAGGAGCACAAGTGGCTAAATATCTTTTGACCAAAAACGGGCAATAGCAACCACATTGTCTGTAGCCTCGATTCTTCCTCTGTGCATGAGGCAGGGCATTGTGGGCAAGCATACAGATGCGTCGTTGTCTGTTCTGCTCCACGGTCACACAAGGTGGAGGATTCTTTTAGGTAGTGCCATTTTGTCAGGTTGTCTTTTGATCTGCCCGCTTCACTTCTGAGTCTGTTCAGGGACTTCCAAGTTGCCCATTCTGGGTTTGGTCCTGAAGGCAGACCCTTGTGGGGGGCCGTCCAACTGGGATTTCCTGGTTTAGCTGTCCAGAGGAATACGCTTGCTGTTGTTGGGAGAACATTAAGAGGACTGGTTGTTCTCATGAAGCTTTTCCTTGATTGGTTGAAGAAAGTGAACTCCAATGAATGTTAGACATGGAAACGGAACACAATGCAATACCAGAAGCTGAAACGGATCTTGAGTCTGAGATGACAGATACTGAAACAGAATTTGAGAGTCTTGATCCAACTGGGAAGACACCAATTTGTGCATACTAGAGCCTTCAATGGTATCCCATTTTTGGCCACCCCACACACTTCAAAAGTGAATGCCTTCAGGCCTTCTCCCAAGCAGCACAATGTTAAACGGGCTCCAATGCCATCTTAGAAAGCACTCAGAACAAAAGATGGGCCTAAACTTCCAGCAGCTTGATAAAAAAGTTATTTAGGCACTATGTGCAGATGCCAGTTTCCAAGGATGCTTTCAAGGCTGTTGAAAGGAGTGTGGACCTATACTTTAAACATCTGAGTAATGACCTGGAAGCCTTTACAAACCATGCTGGAAAGATTACACGGCTTGCTAATATGGAGCTTGTCATGAGGCAGCAAGGACTGATAATGAAGAAGAAACCTTTCAATGTCCTGAGAGAGAATCATTTGCTTCTAGGGTATAGACAGCTGTTGCTTCCTGTTGTTACTAGTGGAAATAAAGTATAATACCTCCCAAACTACAATGAAGTATTAGTGAAATGGGTGGCTGTAAGTTTTTCGGGCCGTATGGTCATGTTCCAGAAACATTCTCTCCTGATGTTTCGCCTGCATCTATGGCAGGCATCTTCAGAGGTTGTGAGGTCCTCACAACCTCTGAGGATGCCTGCCATAGATGCAGGAGAAATGTCAGGAGAGAATGCTTCTGGAACGTGGCCATATAGTCCAAAAAACTTACAGCAACCCAGTGATTCTGGCCATGAAAGCCTTCGGCAATATAATGAAATGCTCTACTGCAGAAGACAAACTGTCTCCGTTTTGGGGTAAAGAACTCTGGTCCAGAAATGTTATGAGGGCATATTTGAGGGGGATCTTAGAAATGCTTGATTGCTGGATCCATAAAAGCCTGTCTTAATAAGGTTTTAGCCTTCTTATTGTAAGGGAGAACTGTTTAATTTCCTGAAGTGCTCAATCTTTGCCATTCATTTTGTCAGGAAGAAGATTTATGCCAGGAAGACAAAGCCAGTTTCCTTCTATCTGGACATGGAAGAGCTGACTAAATACTGGGGCTGTGATGGCCACCCAAGAATGTAAGAACTTACAAATACTATTTTTCTGACTTCCCCTCTGGAAAATAAACGCAATTGCTCAGAAATTGATTGCACACTATTATTCACCTGTACAACTACACTGCTATTTCCTAAACTGAGATTCAAAACAAAAGGTCTGATATAAAATCCTACTAACGCATATCTTTCCATCACAAAAGAGAAACACTTTGAATGGACTTGGCAGGAAAGAGAAGGATTTATTAACTCCAACCATTCTTTCTTTTTCAGGTGCAGCCCCAAAGTCACTTTGCTTTAAATACACAAACCTATGCAATAGAACATCACATGTTTGTGCCATGGAACCATCTGACACACACGTGTATGTTGTGCAATATAGTTTTTCAGTTCTAATTAGAAAATAGTTAAAACTCTTAACTGCTGCATTAGCAGAGTCAAAGGAATGGAAGGCATGTCCATAATTACATCATATTATATAACATAATCTATAATGTAGATATAATGTGTATTATAATATGAATTGGGTTGCTGTGAGTTTTCTGGGCTGCATGGCCATGTTCTAGAAGCATTTTCTCCTAACATTTCACCCACATCTATGGCAGGCATCCTCAGAGGTTGTGGTCTGTTGGAAACTAGGCAAGTTAGGTTTATATATCTGTGGGAGAAAGAACTCTTGTCTGTTTGAGGCAAGGTTGAATGTTACAATCGGCCACCTTGATTAGCATTTTCAGGTTTCCTGAAAATGAAACCATGAACATGAACAAAATCTGGCTACCAGTATTTTAAAAAACTTTAAAACCAGGACAGTAATAAATAAAGAACAATACTCAGAAAACAGGGAAATTCCAGACATGAAACAATCAGGGCCAGCTAACACCTTCCAACAAAGGATTCCCCCAGGCAAGAAGCAACTAGGCTTTGAAGTTGTAAGACCATTCAATGCTAATCAAGGTGGCCAATTGCAACATTCACACATGTCCCAAACAGACAAGAGTTCTTTCTTCCACCCTGGACATCCCAGAGATATATAAACCTCACTTGCCTAGTTTCCAGCAGATCTCACAACCTCTGAGGATGCCTGTCATAGATGTGGGTGAAACGTCAAGAGAGAATGCTTCTGGAACATGGCCATATAGCCGGGAAAATTCACAGTAACCCAGTGTTTCCGGCCATGAAAGTCTTCGACAACACATAATATTAATTATTACTTGGTCTATGTATTTGCCTTATGTACTACATGTTATTTTACAGATATCATCATACTGCTCCAATCAACACATTCTTTTGTCTGCGAGAAGCCTTAGCAATTCTCGCAGAAACGGTCAGTTGCTACAAGAGATTATAAGTCTTTCAGGTTGACTGGGTGGACGAGGTGTGGTAAATGAAATAAATGCTATGTATAGAATCAGTGTTATTCTTTGGAAATTTTAGAGCAGCTTTCTAGTGTAGTGCTCACTTATAAAGGTATCATCTTTCTTTAATTCATCTAATTCAAGCAAGCATTTAAGATGTAATCAGGAGAGTTTTTTATGGGGGGATTTTATTGTGTATGTTTCTAAGAATGTTTTATAATGTTTATGTGCTTTTTATTGCTTCTAAATTTTGATTGTAAATATTTCAATTGATTTGAAGTGGCCTTTGGTTCCACTCTGAGAAAAAGGTGGCATACAAGTGCAATAAATACAATGAATACTAATTAGAAACAGAAGAAATGTAAGACTTGATGCTAAGTTCACTTTCTACTTTAGGCCTTAGTCAGAAAAGGGTAAACAAGATGTTCTGCTTGCTTTACTGTTTGTGATCGGGACACAAAACTAATGCCAACCAGATGGTAACACTTACCACTATCTCAGTGCTTCTCGAAATATGAAAATGTTTACCCATTATTTAGTTTCTACATCTTAACAACATATATTGTGGAAAATAAATATATATTTTTGTTTCCTATACAGGGACTAGAAAACTCGTGGAAGCTTCACAAGGAGAATAGCCTGTATTTGTGTTCAGGGTTACAGAAATTAGGCTTCAAGCTCTTTGTGAAAGAATCGGTAGGACTTCCTATAACAATGAATGCAAAATATAAATCTAACTAATTAATAATACAGTGAGCAAGATATAGAATGTATATGTGTGCTGCCTCTTACAGAAGCTCTTTAAGGTGAAGTTGTGAAAATGGGATAGAAAAGGAAATGAATGGAGACAAAATAATCAACCAGGCTATAGACACTTGGTTCCCATCAACAGCAGTCTGTTAAAACTGAAAATAATGCTTCAAAAAAGGAAGTAGTTTGAAAGCAGTTTGTGCCACTTTCAGCACTGGGGAAAGGGGTTTTTACATTCCTTCTATACTTGGGCTATACTATGACAAAAATGGATCCCCCAGTGGTGCAGCAGGTTAAACTGCTGAGCTGCTGAACTTGCTGACCAAAAGGTCAGCATTTCAAATCCGAGGAGGGGGTGAGCTCCTGCTGTTAGCTCCAGCTTCTGCCAACCTAGCAGTTCGAAAACATGCAAATGTGAGAAGATCAATACGTACTGCTCCAACGGCACTCCATGTCGTCATGCCAACCACATGACCTTGGAGGCATCTACAAACAATACTGGTTCTTCGGCTTAGAAATGGAAATGTGCACCACTCCTAAAGTCGGACACAACTAGACTTAATGTCAAGGGGAAATCTTTATTTTAAGACAAAAGTGTGAGTATGTGAACTGAATAGACTCTATGGTAAATTAGTCACTTAAACAGACTTTTTTTTTTGGGGGGGGGGGATCTTTAAGTGCACTTTTTGTAGCTTCCTGAAAAAATTTGAGAAAGCTAAAGCAATATTTCTCAAACTGTGCTCCTCCAGGTGTTTTCGACTTCAGCTCCCAGAAATCCTAGCCAGCTTACCAGCTGTTTAAGAATTGTGGATGAAGTCCAAAACATCTGGACGAGCATGGTTTGAGAAACTTTGAGCTAAAGAATGCACACAAATCCAGAAAGTACAAGAGATGCTCCAACTCACTCCTTTCTATTTTGCAGAATGCAAGGCTCCCAACCGTCAACACGGTTTGTGTACCTGAGGGATACAACTGGAAAGAAATAACTGAATATACAATGAAAAATCATGGAATTGAGGTCTCAGGAGGCCTGGGTCCTTCAGCAGGCAAGGTAGATACTGGTTTGTGATAACAAATAACAACACTGGTATGTGTGACTCCCAACACACCAGTAGAAAATCTTCAAACTGTTTTAACATTATGCTTGACTATTAATTTCAAGTTATAAAGCCTGGAGTATTCTATTAAGCCTGATGAGGGTTAAATATTCATCCCCTGTTCATAAAAAGCTAGCTAGCTTATAATATAGCTTTCTCCAATGCTTTCTGTCTAAAAGATGAATGTTCGAAACATACAAATCCTAGCCTACCTTCTGAATCAAGTACATACTAACAGAGATGAATCACTCTGTGGTCTTATTTAGAAAACGTGTAAACAAATGCAGCCATTACCATTTATAGATATAAATAGCTTAGAGAGAAGAAGAGCTGCTCCAGGCTTTCCAAGAGTGTTTATGAAATACTTAGTATTCTGTTGTTTTTACCTTTTCTCATCATCAGGTTCTTCGAATAGGACTGATGGGTTACAACTGTACTAAATTCAATGTTGACAGAGTCCTTCATGCCCTGGAGGATGCTCTCCAGCATTGTCTCAAGAACAAGTTATGAGCTCCTGCACCACCTCTCAGAAATTGGCTTGTCTTGTTTTTACCTCTTCTTTCAAATTTGCTTAGTAAAATATGGCCCAATTACTTTAGCCTTTCATTTTTCACACTGGATAAGGCATCAGAAGTCTCAAACATAGGAGAACCTATAATGACAGGAAAGCTGGAGTCCTGTGGAGTAACCAGAGGTATTACTATGCAATCATAGTCTTAATTATTTTTCTGCATTCCAAAATATCTGTGTGACTATGTATTTGTATATTTCTTTAAGCCATTTTCATGCTTCCTGGGAGGGGGTTGGACTGGATGGCCCACGAGGTCTCTTCCAACTATGATTTGTTGACTTAAGCCTGTAAATTTCATGGGTTTTTCTTAGGCAAGGAACACTCAAGAGGTGGTTTCGCTAGTCCCTTGTTGAAATATAGCCTGGGATTTGTTGGCAGTCTCTCATCCAGGAACTAACTAGGGTTGATCTTGCTTAACTTACAAGATTTGATGTGATCTGGTGCCTTTAGGGCATTTAGGCCCCACTATGTAACGAGATTAAAATTGACACAGGAATAAAGTCTGCTTGTTTGTTATTACTTGCACACCAACTAATGCAAGTTAGTCCCTCAAATTTAAGTGTTTAGCTAGTTGTTGCAATTCGTTGAATAGTATCCAGTTGCTTTACTATAATAACAGCTGAATTTTCCCAGTTGCATAGTGATAAGGGAAGAAAGAGAAAACCTGTTCAGTCACACAGTCTATTCTCCAGGTCCTTCAAGGCTGGAATGTCTATTGTTGTCACAGTTTTGATTACACTTTCTATATTTTTCTTTACCAAATATCTACATTGGCAAAACCATATGAGCTTGTATATCATTTTCATAACATGTGTGTATGAAAGGTCATGAGCATTAAGTTTCGCACAAAACTTTAAAAATTTCCCAAGTACAGCTTCTACTTGAAGTTGTGATGATGCTAGAATCTTGTTCTCACTTCTTTTGATTCTGGGCAGCATCCGTGAGCAAGATATATGCACTCCAGATCACACAGAAAACTAGAGATGGAAAAAAATATTTGCCACTGGCTGAAACACGTGGAAACCTTGTTGGAAAGAATAATAAAGTAGCATGAAAGTTTTTCTCTTGCATTTTTACATCCTGAATTTTTGGAGGAAATTATTTTGCTGAAATACATGTTCGTTTTCCATGAGAACAAAAGTATCAAGCAAATAATTTGAATTACGACTCAGGGATATGGAATATTATAGTACATTAGTAACAAATCAGCATTTGCAAGGCTTGATGAGGAAGGCTCATTTTTATTTTTATGAAGTACAGCTTGAAGCATCCTTTGCAATGTCCACTGTGAACACTGCATGTCAGATTTGTGGGAATGTCTAAAGCAGTCACTAGGTGACATTCGGATTTTTTTCATGACCCCAACATTGAACTAAAGTAGTGGTTCCCAATCTTTTGACCAGGAACCACTTTGACCAGGGACAACTCTCCAACATTAGTACCAAAACGGTTAGGAATCAATTTTTGGTCAACTTTAGATTCGATTTGGTTATTTGGGGTGCTGATTGAGAATATTGCATTGGATAGAGCACATCAGCTCTAGTTTCTGATAAAGAACATATGCCATCCAATAGACACTATCTGCTCACCCACAGAAAACTGTATTTAATAATCTAGAGCTGATGTGGTATATCCAATCCTATTTTCTGAATCAGCACCCCAAACAACCCCAGGAACAGGCTTAAAAATGAAGTACCAAGAAAACTTTTTTTGGTTGGGTTGTGTTTTTTATCCATAGCTGTATCGGTGAGGCCGCGGACCATGTTTTAGTTCTTGCGGATCACTGATGGTCCACGGATCACAGGTTGGGAGCCACAGGTTTAAAAGTAAGTGTTCTAGGCTAGTGGTTCCCAACCTTTGATCCTCCAGTGGTTTTGGATTTCAACTCCCAGAATTTTTGACTTTTGGCCAAGCTGGTGGGCTTTTGGGGGTTGAAGTCTCAACTACCTGGAGGTCAAAAGTTGGGAGCCATAGCATACCCCCCAATTTTTATCTCAATTTGCACTGCCTCCTTTGCTTGGTGAAACCAAATGGTGATATAATTAAGTGCAAATCAAGAGCTTTAAATCCCTGTCATCAACAGGTTCTTTCCACCTTTTGTTCTCTGACTGAAGTAGAACACCACGGACTCCTATGTGATGTATGGATCAGAAACTGAAATCAGTTTCGTTGCAAACCTGTAATAGACACTCAGATTCCAGAACAGACTGACATTCTAGGTGACGCCTGGCATTTCTCAACAATCATAAGAACTAGATAAAACATTAGAAAAATAAAAATTAAACATTTACCAGATTTTGGCAACTCCAAGAGTTTTACAACTGCAATCATCACAGCATTAAGACATCACAGGAGATAAAGCTAGTCTTCTTTAGAATAAGATGTTGTCTGAGACTATCAAGATATAATCCACAGATCTGAATAATATATTGCCTTCCCAAAACTTCTGAATAGTTATGGTGCAATCACAAAGAAAAAAGTGGAATAAAATATCAATGTGGTCAAGCCGTTTTAAATATGTTCTCCAGTAAAAGGTCTTTTTTATTTACAGTGTTTTTCTATTTGTACATATTTATAGCAACATCAAAAAAGTATTCACAATGCTTCACTGAGTGCAAAATGCCACTTCATTATCACCTACCATCCTAATATTTTACCAACCATTTTCCCCAACATTACCCAGATTGTCTTAGCATAGTTAATATCCTTCTTTAACACATAGGGCCACTCTCCTGAAAAGCAACCATTTAAGTGTGAAGGTGAAAATTTGCACATCTCAGCTGTATTTGACACAGTTTTAGGCATATCTATATTTTTAAGAAAATGGATATGCATATGGGTGATGGAGACACGACAACATTGGAAGTGCATGTGTTGAAAAAATCCAGAGTGCAAAAGCAGCAACCAGGCCAAGAAAGCCCTCCCCTCAACCCACCCCTTCTCCTGGGAGCGGATTTGGACAAATCTGACAAGGAAGTGATTTTTCTCAGTATTATTAAGGCTACAATCACTTTGACGACTTGACTAAGGCTTTATTTCTGAGGTACTAAAGTTAGCAGGTGGGCACAGTGTGCAGACCCGCAGAAGCCCAACCCCAAAAGCTTGTAGCAATGACACTGAGAAATGACATCACTTACTACTATCCCTGAATCACTATTACTTGCCTTTCAGAGTAAAACAATACATTAAAACTTTATATAAAATCTCTGGTTTTATTTTGCCGTCTCCCTCCAGCTCACAAACAGTTCCAGCCAAAGGCTCTAACTTTTGCTTTGATGCAATCAATGTAATATGCCTAGGCATGTGAATATCCATTCATTCATTATAAATAAAAGTTTGGGATGAGCTAAAGCTGGTGAGTGAAATGAGATAGTCAACCTCTGACAGGCACCCATCCTTCAATGCAAACATTTATAGAGTCAATCCACAGACAACCTGACTGGTTTAACAACGTTTTGCAGAATTGAAACCACATATTAATCTTGCTCTCTTCTGCTCCAAAGAGATGTTTAGTCCCACTACCATGCACTTCTTAAATTATCTTTTGTTTTCCGAGATAGAATCCGGGCACCCAGACCTTTGATTGGGCGCTCTTCTGACAATTACTCCTACGTGGCTCCTAACAGCAGTGGCCTTTAAAAAAAAAACTTCGAACAATCCATCAAAGATTCAAGTCATGTAAGAACAATGCAGAGTTTGAAAGCATGCAGTTTCTCTGAGGCAGCAGTGGCACTGGAACTATACTTCTCTTGCTGGATAAGCACAGCAAGTATGATTCCCACAAGTTCAACCTTGGTATCATATAAAAGTCAATGTAAGAAGGCTCTGCTCCATCTTCGTTCAGCTTCTCCGTCCCAAATCCAGGGAGCTGGCACTAGTAACACGTGGCAGTAGGAGGCCAGCTGAGTCACATCACATGTGCTACCAGTCATATAGGTATCATTTTGTTTCCAAAGAAGTACATGTACATTAAGCTGAGGTTTAACAAATGCATATTCTTTACTGAAAAACATTCATCTGATCAAAATAAATTCCATGGGACAAAACTGTTTTTAAATAACATTTTCAATTCAAATCGTATATAATTCTTTAAAGTTTCCATACAGCAAAGAATGGTTAATCCTTGAAAATCTGTAGAAAAAACACAAAGAAAACAAAAGCTCTGAGGTATCACACCCACCCAGACGCACAGCCTTACACTGGCTGCGGTAGAAGCAGAAAATTGTAGGCCCAAAGGAAAAAGATCACTGATTGTTCTAGTAAAGTTCAGGTAGCTCAGGAAAAACATTATCCCAGAACAGTCCTCTGAGTAACGGAACTACCTCAATAAAGTCCTCAAGTGCATTGGAGACCTGATCGCTTAAACTGCTCCTGCCAAGCAGCTCCCTGCACCTGAGAGAATGCAGCCCAAGGTGCCTTGTGCAAAAGATAAGGAATTAGGTGCGGCTATTTCCTGTTATTCCTTATTATATAGCTTTGAGAGTTGTACGAAAAGTCCAACTTGTCTTTGATCATGCAAGATACTGCTGGAGTGCTGTCTTTGCCCTGTAACAACAACAAAATAATAATAATTGTCAACTACTAAGAAGACATAAGCCAGTGACAGGATACAGACAGAAGACTGAAGTAGTGAAAGCTAAGTATGCAAGCTCTCACATAAAGTTAGGTAACATTTGTCCTAATTTCCCTAACAGACTGTCTGAAAAACTAAATCAGTTGACAATTTCTACACAAATCTTATTTTTGAAATAAAAGTCAATAATAACTGAAGAACCAGCATATTTCCATTTAATTAGTTCTTTCACATTCCTTACTAATTCAAGCAAGGATATACACACAGCTCTAGAATCAGGTTCAGACTTAGGTATAACAGTCTGTGAAAAGCATATGAACATTTAAGTTCAGTATTATCCAGTTGGAATATAACTACGTATACTTGTGTAAAAGCCAACCTCATGTATAAGTCGAGGGCATATTTTGAGGGGGCCCAATTACATTACGTAACAAATTTTGAAATAAAAAATCTGTTCCTGGTTTGAAATTGTTATTTCTTGTTTAATTGTGTGGTGCTTACTTTGAAAGTAGTTATGCCCCAGAAACTTTGTTTTTGTGGCTGCCATTGACTATGCAGAATTGGTTGAGACTCAATGAAATATTCATTGAAAAACTATAGCAAAATGAGCTGCAGGATGTCCGGCAAAAACCAAGTTTTTCCAATTTAAAAAACATTTTCCATATTTTTATGACAGAACCCATTAGGAAATGACATTTATAACCCAAGAACAAACATGTGTTACATAATGTTATGGATTTCGGTATGAGCCATGGATAAATTGAGGAAAAGTTTGGGGCTGAGGACAAGGATCCTTGGGTCTCTTCCTCAATGAGATGAAAGCATTTGCAACGCCGCTGCCATTTCCCCACCCAGGCATTCAAAAAGACTTTTCATCACTCTATTCAGAGAAGGTGATAGTTCCTTTTTAAATACAAGCTTAGTATTAAGTAAAGGTAAAGGTTTTCCCCTGACATTAAGTCCAGTCGTGTCCGACTCTGGGGGTTGGTGCTCATCTCCATTTCTAAGAGCCAATGGTGTCCGTAGACACCTTCAAGGTCATGTGGCCAGCATGACTGCATGGAGTGCTGTTACCTTCCCGTCGGAGCGGTACCTATTGATCTACTCACATTTGCATGTTTTCTAACTACTAGGTTGGCAGAAGCTGTGGTTGACAGCGGAAGCTCACGCTGCTCCCTGGATTCGAACCTGCGACCTTTTGATCATCAAGTTTAGCAGGTCAGTGGTTTAACCCACTGTGCCACTGGAGGCTCCTTAGGATTATAAGCTTAGTATTAGCTCTTATTAAAAAAAGGCAACTATCCCCTTCTCTGACTAGAGTGACAAAAGGGTTTCCACTCTCTCCACCACAACATTGCTTCTGGCATTTTTGAAGGCAGAAATAGAGGGGTGGCTCCTCTTTGGTGGTAACCTGCTTTGGCAAGGAGAACAAAGGGTATTAGTGCCTTTTTTCCAGTAATCTACCCACAAAGACTGGGGATAATTTCAAGATTTTCAGGGAAATTAAAAATATTCATAGTATCAATATATTATACAGCCTAAATCAGTGGTTCTCCAGGTGCTTTGGCCTACAACTCCCAGAAGTCTCAGCCAGTTTACCAGTTGTTAGGATTTCTGGGAGCGGAAGGCCGTAACATCCGAGGACCCACAGGTTGAGAACCACTGGCCAAAATCCAATTTTTAGTCCCAATTAGAGTAGATCCACTAAATCAACAGTACTGACTTACTACATTCCTACTGCTGTTTCAATGGACTTACAATATCAACTAGATCTGGGCCAGTGTTATCCATCTTGAATCATTACATTCAATGTGCACAGTTCAAAACAGTCCAAGATCATCCAAATTTGATTTTAAAGTCCTTTCATACTTACTTATCACAAAGATTTGGATCTGATGACTGACTTAATTTGTGTAGAATATCTACTATTCCAATATCTCTGAGTTTATCTTGACGATCTTGGGAACCTAGAAGAAGAAAACTGCATATTATAAGTAAGATATTCAATGTAAATTAAGAAGAGTAGCAAAATAACTGAGAGAAATGTGATATAAGACAAGAGACTTTCAACAACCAGACCTCCACAGAGTTAGCACTGCAGTCACACACCCACTTCCTGTGAGGGTGGATTTGTATGCCTTCAAATACCACGGAGCTGCTAGACTCCTGGCTTGTCATGCATGAATAGTACATCACCAAGAACTGATGGAAGACTGATTAGCACAGAAGTAGAACAAAGGTCTTTTCTATGGTGATTGCTTTCTCATGGAATTCTCTATCACTACACTATATGCCCATACCACTGTACCACTTCTTTATCCTATGATCCTTGCCTTCTCTGCCTGGCAAGAGAAGATAACCCAATGAAGGATGTTTCCTTCCCCACATATACAGAATGCATCCCATGTAATAGTCAACAGCCCAACAGGATTTCATTTTACATACGATTCTTGAGGAGGTTTTGCCACCTTTGAAAATTAAGAATCTCACAAAAACCTCCCTCTAGAAGAGATACTGCATCCAGGTATTTTATCTTCTTACCTTCTTCTTCATTCCATATAAGATTAGATACACAAAACATGGCAGCCAGCTGAAGTTTAGCATTCGAATGACTCTGTATGTGAACAGAAAATCATGTAGAAATATATTTAAAAATATTTTTTTTCTTGGCCACTGTATCACAATCCTCCAAGTAATGAGAGGCAAACACCACTGGATAAAGAGACTCCCCTTTCCCCTCAACAAGAGGAAAGATTGGTAGAATTAAGGGAATGAGTGTACTTTGGAAAATTATGTGACAACTGTATATAAAAAAGCAACATTTCCCTCTGTTTTTTTAAGTTTTCTACCCATGGAAGAAAATCCTTCTTTTAAGTGAGCAAATGAGGATACAGACCTGCCCCCTCAAACTAGCAAACAGCTAATGAATATGAAACAGTTTTTGTACAATGCTAAGTAATTCATGTGATCCGCCATGGAGTTACAGGCCCTCCTCAAAAACCCATACATGAAATTACATACCATGTAGTACTTTATTTTTTGCAAGATGTCATCATTTGTCATAATGAGTTCTTTTGCTGTTGTTCCATCTGCTATGTTGGCAAGTATACATAAAGTCTGAGGGTGGAAAAAAGATAACCATATACTACATAGGAAAAAATACTGAAGCTTTATCTGACCCTTTAAGTCTTTAGCTATTATAAGGCCTTGCCTTAAATCTGAGAGGATGAATATTAGACTGAGCCTAGATGAGCCTGAGCCAGAGTCAAGGCCACCCCCTGTTCACACGCACCTCAACTATTTGCCTTTACTCCTAAAACGATGGCAGGGACTTTTGCTAAGATAAAGATAGGAAAGAAATATGTTTCTTCAGTGATCTAACCACCCCAGCTGAGGACTTACATGTCCCCATTCTTTGCTTAGAAGTTTCTTGGAAACTTGAGGGCAACACACACACAGAACCTCAAGCACTTGGGGGATTCTTTGTCCTTTTGGATTTTTGTTTTACTCCTTTTGTAAGTCACTGCTGTAAAGTATCATCTTTTCCAGGAGATAAATTCCACAACACTGGAATTCTTTGGTCCTTTTGTGTTGCTGAACTGCAACTCCCAGCAGTATAGACAACTGTAATGAAAACTACCTTTAAGACGACAGGGCCGAAGCCTGCATGACAGTGGCTGTCATCTTGGAGGGCAGACAGAGCAGGAGGAGGAGTCAAGCTGACTCCTGATTGGGTATAGCAATTGGGGGAGGAGTCGGTTGAGAGAGGGAAAATAAGCTGCCAGTTTTGACACAAAGGGAGAAGGGTCAGAACTCATTCTGTCAAACCATTTTAAATGTCCAGTCATCCAGTGAGGAAGCCATAGAAGAATCAAGAGCTCAAACACCCCTTACCTATAATACTTTCACACCTTTGGTTCCTCAGGCCAATAATTCTGAGGTGGTGGCGGCTAATACTACCAAGAACATTCGGTCACTTGTATATATAACATAGGGTCAGCCTTTAATTTCGCTATATTGGTGGCAGCGGTGGGATTGTTTGTCCACCCTGCCCAGACAGCATTTAACTTTACTATATTGGTGACCAGCGGCGGGATACGTGACTTAAAGCCTAAATCCAGTGGGGTGGTGTGATTTTGTGAGGTAAAAGTTTACGCCAAAGCATTTCTGAAGAAATTTTACCTCAGAAACTGCTTAAATACACCATTATACAGCAGCATGGCGCCTCCTAAACACCAAAAAGCTCCTGTGGTTCCTACTCAGAGAGAGGAACAGAAGGGAGCCGAAATGGAGTCTGAGACTGAAGAAAGAGGAGAAAGCCCAGGATTAGTGGCTGCCTCTTTAGAAATCGAAAAGTTAAGGCTTGAGATGGAGTTGAGAAAGATGGAGTTTCGAGCTAGAGAGAATGAGAGAAAAAGGGAAAGAGAAAGGATGCAGTTTGAGGCTGAAAGAGAAAGAGAGAGGATGAAACATGAGGAAAGGATGATGGAGTTACAAGTGAGAGATAGACAACCCACATCCAACCCTAGTACAATCCCTGCCGGACCCGTAACTTCCTATGTAAAATACTTTCCCAAATATACAAAGGGGGATTGTGTAGAGAGTTTCCTCGCGAGCTTTGAGCGAGCGTGTGCAGATTTTGGGGTGCCTGAGGAAAAAAGAATGGCACACCTAAGACCATTGATCTGTGGGGAACTGAGTGAAGTTTATGCCAACTTGACAACTACAGAATGGTCTAACTACTCTGTCTTCAAAGAAAGAGTGAAGGTTCAGTTTGGTCTAACCCCAGAACAAAGTCGAAAGACCTTCAGAGAGATTAAGAGGAAGCCTGGGGAGACATTTTCCCAAGTAGGGGCTAGGATTGAAAAAGCTCTAGTACGATGGCTGGAGGGTAGTAAGGTGACCACCTTTGAGGCTTTGAGGGACCTGATCTGTATGGAACAGTTTTATAAACTGGTCCCAGCACAGTGGCGATGGTTCATCAAGGATAAGAAGATCCAGACGGTGGCCGAGTGTGCTTCGATTTTGGACGGGATGGAGGGAGACTTTGAAATGGTCCCCCCAATGTTCAAGAAGCAGAAGGAGTGGGTCCCGAAGGGCAGAACTGACAAGGAGGGTCAGGGAGCCAAGCAAGGGGATGCCATCTCTAGGTTTGTGCCACGTAGGATCATATGTTTCCTGTGTAACCAGGAGGGACATGTTAGAGCCTCATGCCCAAAGCTATCTAAGGAGAGAGCTGGAAGCCTGCCAAAATTTGTTAAAGTGGTCAAAAAGACTCAACCACAAGAGGAAGAACCTACTCCTGAGGGAGAGCCCATCAAAATAATGAGGGTTTGGAGTATGGACCGTGGTGTAAACAAAGAATACTTGGAAGAGGACCAAGTTAATGACCAAAAGCTGATGGGACTGAGGGACACCGGCGCTGACGTATCTTTGGTGCGCCCTCATGTAGTTGAAAAAGATCAGATAGTGCCAGGAAAGAAGTGGACACTAAAAGGAATAACTGGTCCCAGCTTTGAAGTAGATGTGGCAGAAATCCCAGTCAAATATAAGGCTTTTTGTGGTAGATGGAGAGTAGGGATCCTGTCAGACTTGGAGGTCCCTGTGTTAATAGGGAACGATCTGTCAGAACATACGCTAAAGATCAATGCTGTGACTAGAAGCCAGGCAGAAAGAGCGGGAATTTCTGAGGAGGGAAAAATCACCTCAGAAATGGCTCATAGCTCTGACTGTAACAACACAGAAGAGTTCCCTGTAATGTTGCCATCTAGTCAGCCAGCTGAGTTCCTGAGGGAACAGCGACATGCTGAAGATTTAAAGGGCCTGTGGGAATCAGTAGAAACTGAAGAGACTGAACCCACTGAATCCAAGCCAGTTATCTTCAAGAGTATAGATAGCAAGTTGTTCAGGATAGTGAGACATCAAAAGGGCCCAGGGCTGTATGAGGTGGTTACACAGCTAGTAATACCTCCAAAATACAGGGAAAAGATCCTGAAAATGGCCCATGACACCTCGTTTAGTGGTCATCTAGGTGTCAAGAAGACTAAGGATAGGGTGCAGAGCCGGTTCTTTTGGCCCCGAATGGCACAGGACATTGCCACCTACTGCAGATCCTGTCAGTCCTGTCAGTTTGTGGGCAAAGCAAAAGACAAAACCAAGGGACTGCTGCAACCCATTCCTGTTGTGTCGATTCCTTTCAAAAAAGTGGGGATAGATATTCTTGGCCCGATGTCGCCTGTGACCAAGGATGGACATCGCTACATCCTCACAGCGGTGGACTTCGCGACCAGATACCCTGAGGCGATTCCCCTGAAGGAGATTGACACCAAGACTGTAACACACGCACTCCTGACGTTGTTTGCGCGTGTGGGGTTCCCTAAATCTATCGTGACGGATTTGGGAACATCTTTCATGTCTGTTCTAATGAAGGAGATGCTGCGTTCCTGTGGGATTCAACACGTGACGACGACTCCATACCATCCACAGTCGAATGGCCTGACGGAGAGGTTCAACGCGACGTTGAACCACATGCTGAGAACCTACACACATCGCAACCCCAACGATTGGGACAGAAGAATCCAGCATTTCCTGTTTGCCTATCGTGAGGTACCACAAGAGAGTACCGGGTACAGCCCGTTCCAACTGCTGTATGGCCAAACCCTGCGTGGACCTCTAGACATAGTGAGAGAGGCGTGGATCGGACGTGAGGAGATTCCTGAAAAGGACGTGGTCGAGTACATCGAAGACCTTCAGAGACATTTGACTTTGATCCGGGACTGTGCCGCTGAGAGCTTGTCAGCAGCTCAAAGCCGACAGAAGGACTATGCTGATCTAAAGCTAGGCACAGAAGCTTTGCCGTCGGAGACAAAGTGTTGGTCTTAAAGCCCAGAGCCAAAAAGAAGTTAGATATGGCTTGGGAAGGACCATTTTCGGTTGTTTCTAAAGACTCTGAGGTGACTTACATGGTCCAAGAAGATGGAGAAGACCAGAGGTGCAAGAAGCTGCACATCAATAGACTGAAACCATATTTTCCTAGGACTAACTTTGTGGTAAAACTTGAGCCAGAGTCCGAGGGGAAGGTGACTCTGTGTAGGGGAGGAAGTGTACCCAGTTAAGTCTTTAGTAAATTTGGAGGGAAAAGTTGGATCGTGTAGTACCAAACAAAAACAGCAGGTGGAGCTGGTGCGTAAGGTCCAGAGAGTGTTATATGGAGATGACACTGTCTCAGCTTCAACCTGGAAAGAAACATCTGAAGATAATAGTATGGGGTTTGAAGTAGCCGTTGGTGGTGCTAAGTTAAGAGCCAAAGGGAGGATTTGTGGCATTGGGTGAGACGGGACAAAGGTTCAGACCCTTTATATTTTCCATGCCAAAGTTGGTTCCCAGTTTAATATTTGAGCGTACCAACTAAACAAAATAAGCCCCAGGGTAACTTTAAAAGGTTACACCAAAGACAATCTTCAATAGAAGTTTCTTAGCTGTACAGGTATTACAAAATGATTATTTGCAAGATAGAATGGTTAATTGCAGGTTAGAGCAATACCTTGACTGTATATAGATGTTATATAATGCATTATTGAAAATGATCGAGTAATCATACAGGTAATGGTATAGGTAATTGTATTATAGAATGCATTTGATAAGGTAATGTATTGTACAGTGAGATGTTATATATCCAACATGTTTTTTCTTACAGGTTTATGGAAATGTAATAACTATTATTTTGCATTGCAGGTTTGCTTAGGTAAAATGCGTAGAATGTATGTATTGTTTGCAAATGTTATTTAATATGCAATGTAATGTTAGTAAGATAGGTAACCTGTTAGATAGAAATGTTTAGTGTTAGAAGATGTTTAGGTATATTAGGTAGCATGTAAGATAGGTAGATAGTCAGTTTAGCTTGCCTTAGGTTAGAATAGATTGTTAGGTGCAAGAAAAGGGAGTTAGTTAAGAATAAGGTCTCTTCATGAGAAACCCTTTCTTGCAGCTTTAGATTAGAAATCTGAAATCTTACAGAAAGGTCTTAAGGCGGGGAGGTATGTAATGAAAACTACCTTTAAGACGACAGGGCCGAAGCCTGCATGACAGTGGCTGTCATCTTGGAGGGCAGACAGAGCAGGAGGAGGAGTCAAGCTGACTCCTGATTGGGTATAGCAATTGGGGGAGGAGTCGGTTGAGAGAGGGAAAATAAGCTGCCAGTTTTGACACAAAGGGAGAAGGGTCTTGACTTGAGCCAGAGAAGGTTGTGAATTTAAGAGGGGAAGTTACAGCAGGGATCTGACAGAAAGGGAAGAGCTTTTAGTGAGCCTTAAGTTTAGGGAAATAGGCTGAGACAATAGGCTAGTATTTTACTGTGTTGTGAGAGCCAGTAAAAGAAAGATTTGTCTCCAGAGCTTACTACCCTGTGGTGGAGACAGATAGGGATCTGTTCTCCAGGGATACTGTGTCTAAAGTTAGAACAGTATGTTTAAGGAGTCTCACAGTTGTTAAAAGCTTTTCTGTCAGGGGAACTGTTTGTTTAAGTAACCAAGTTTCTGCAACTGATTCACGCTTCTGTACCACTCATTTCTATGAGTTGTTGTTAATATAAAGTTCAATAAACTCTTTCTAGTTAACTTTTAACTGGTGTATGCCTCAATCCATCTATTTCCTCAGAACTCATTCTGTCAAACCATTTTAAATGTCCAGTCATCCAGTGAGGAAGCCATAGAAGAATCAAGAGCTCAAACACCCCTTGCCTATAATACTTTCACACCTTTGGTTCCTCAGGCCAATAATTCTGAGGTGGTGGCGGCTAATACTACCAAGAACATTCGGTCACTTGTATATATAACATAGGGTCAGCCTTTAATTTCGCTATATTGGTGGCAGCGGTGGGATTGTTTGTCCACCCTGCCTAGATAACCCTTAATTTTACTATAACAATACAACTAATGGTGGCAAATGTTGAGAGTTCCAGCCTAGCAATATCTAGAAGGCCATGTGATTCCCACTCTTTCTAGATAAAGAATATGCATCTGATTAATAAGTTATTTTGCTTTTTCTTTAAAAGCACCACATATACTGTTCGTATAGTCATGTATATATAATATAACACAGCACAATACCTGTTCTTTTACTTCTACATTATGCTCTCCTTCCAGGATGAGCGTCACGGCTTGCATTATTTGTTTCCCATGAGTACTTATTATCTGATCTATATGCTGCAAAAAACACAAACAAACAGTAAACATAAAATAGCAAAGAATCTCTTTAAATATACTATTTCCCAAAGCATAATGAATGCTGTGAAGCCCAAGAAGAGCATAAAATACTGCTATAAATGTGTGTTTATTCACAGAATAGTCACACAAAAAACTTAAGGTTAAAACCAATGTTCAAAATGAGAAAACTGCAGATAATCTGCCACTACGTTTTCATTCAAAATGAAGACGTATCCCTTCAACTACTCAAATACCAAATATAATAAGCAAGAAATGACAAGAAAAACGAAGCTGCCTCTCTATGGGTCTCAACTTATTAGGCAAGGCACATAAAAGGATACTGAGAATACTGCAAAGAAAGACGGATCACCGGCCTTTCTTTACATTTGTACAGTACATTCTACAAAAAGCATCTTAAGCAGTGCTGATGAGCATCAGAAGCCTTGTATAATCATATAAACTGCAGCAGCTTATAAAAGCTGTCTAATAAAAACTAATTTGAACATGCCTACCGAAAAACAGAAGAGAAAATTTATCACTTGGCTACAGAAAATATGAAGTCTAAAAATAAGTTATATATGTCAAAACTGATTCATTAATATACTTACAGGACGAGTTGATAAAAGGTTTCTAAGTAGTCCCAAAGTCTTCATTAGCACATTTACATCAGAATCAGAGAGCAACTGGAACAACTGTTCTGTACTCAAACCTCGTAAAATGTCTGCTTTGATCTTCTGTTCTGCTTGAAATGCCATATTCTAAAGAGATACAAATAATTAATCTCATACTTGCAGTCACCCGAATATTTTTTTTAAAACTGACAAAGTTTCATTACCCAAACTGTAATCACCAAGCAACGAAGAAAATAACTTTATTTACATCCCAGCTTCCCTATCCCTCACAAACCAGGGTTCAAGGTAACTATATATACACAGATTTTATACACCATAACTGTAGGATACATGGAATATTTCTATAAGAATTTTATTTTACATTCCTTAAAAACAACTTTGGGCTCCAAACATTTTCAGTCTTTAATTGTACCTTGCAATCTTCATATTTTCAATACTACCATAGGGGCAACTTAGGAAAAAGGGATAATGCATACAAACACAAAATATGAATTGCACTACATTAATTCTTACCATTAAAGCCCAAACTCCATTCACTCGCAAGGCAAGATTGTCACTCTGGGTTAAACTGCAGAGAAGTTCTATGGCTCCGGATTCTAAAATAGGCTAAAAGGACAAAAATGCCATCAGTTTAGAAATCTGAATAGATTGACCAATGTGCACAGCATATACATACATGAATAACAGAATTTAGTTAGATACGTAAGAAGTAACCCTTCGTTTCCATATCCTTTGCTTCTTTGTTGGTTCTGTATCTTTCACAAACTGCAGAGAGCTACTATTTCAGAGCAAAAATACTTGGAAATGATCCAAGATGATCCCATATCCCTAAGGGCAAAACATCTATTGACTCAGAGTTACTCTTAACGACTTTTTCATCCAATTCAAGTGTAATAAACCACTCTTGAACACTGGATATTTATTGGAATCTTGGATTCTAATAAAAAAGCCCTGCAACTACAATTTGTTCTTGTTACTATTATGTGACTTCGGGACATATAGCAACCCTATCAATAACTTTCTTGTCAAGATTTTTTCAAAACTGCCTTTGTTCCCAGGCTGTGACTTGTCCAATACCCTTGCAGCACAGACATGAGTTGTCTTGCCACTTATTGACCACTGACTAGAATTCTTATTTCAAGTGGTGAACAGCCAGCTGAATCTAAATTTTCTTCATTTGAAAGATCATTTCAGTCTATTGGGGATAATGGAACATGACCTGTTAGGATCACTGACCATCGCGGAATAGATCATGAACTGTTCGGATCACAATCTAATTGGTTAGCAGAATTTATTTGGTAATAGATGATTGCTGGGCATATAGATATTTTGTTTTTGTTTGATGCTTTCAACAGACAATGATACAAGCAGGCTTCTTTTAAAGATAACAAGTTTTGTTTGCTAATAACTTCGTGTATTTAAAGATACAGGCACATTTCTTGTCAAGGGTTAAAAATTTCAGTAAGGTTTCAGAGGGTTTGTATCTTGAGCTTATAATATTTAACAGTTTCTTCATATACAGCTCTCTCTAATAAGAGTTTACTTTTAAATAAAACACAAGCCTCAACGGTTTCCAACTTCCTAACATGAGCTTCTGCACTCTGACAGACTTCTATACTCAAGTTCATTCAAGGCATAACACATTTTTCTAAGTCATTCCTCAACCGATATTCCGTCATCCTGTTTTAAACCTGAACATTCTACACTGTCACTGAGTCAATCACGTGGCCTGCAGCCCCTCCCACTGTTTTAAGTATATAGAGATAAGGAAACTGCAAATCAAATAAGACATTTACTTCAGGTTACAAAACAACACATTAAAAAACAGGCAAAGATAATGTAGAGGAGGCTTGAGAAGGTTGGTTCCTCTAACAGAGTGAGAGATCGTGGTTTATTTTCTGAGGAAGATGTTTAACTGTGTAGCAAGGCCACAAGAAGCAGGTTGTGAATATTCCCCAGAATGCAAATAAATAGCTGCTGCAGTCACAAAATCTGAGCTGGAAACATGATTTATTGTGTGTATGTGTGCTGCTATTTCCGTTGTGAAATCTTGGGGTTAGGAGGGAAAGGGCTTTCTCTGCATCAGACTGGTACATATTAACTCACACAATAAACATTTCATATTGCAAAATGAGTCATATACATACTTTTCTGTTTAAAAAAGCTCTACCAACCTCTTTGCTTGGAGAAAATTCTAAGAGGAGATTGCATAGAGTGGAAGATGCTACCACTAAGATTTCATCTGGAGCATTCTGTAATACCTAGAAAGAAGAAGAAGAGAATCCTATTGTATTAGAATAATAAAGAAATCTTTACACTGCGTAATGCTGCTGGAGCATAACAGTCAGCCACAGCTGCACAGGGGGCTACAGGAGGGAGGACCATGAAGCCTTCTCAGTGCTCTTGCAAAAACATGACCATTTGAGCTGTGGGGTACAAGGCTGCACCTGGTGTAGTCCAGCTGCCAATGTACAGCCCAAGAAAACCTGTCTTGCTGTCTAATCCAGACTTCGCACCTGGATAATTCTTCAAAATTTAAATGGTCAGCATTTGAATGTTGGGAAGGGGCTGTATTTGCCTCCAGTGAATTCCACAGGCATTACACGTCCCAAGAGAAGAAACAGACATCCAGATGGCATCCCTATCTTAGCAAAGCTCAGGAGCGAGAAAAAGGAAACAAGCCGGCTGCTAAACGAGAGGCCCTCATTCTATGCTAGGAGAAAGCATCTAACTTGGATAGAAGACACAGCCAATGTAACTATAATGACTCCCTGCAACTATTAGCGAAGGAACATCTGATAAGTTGCTTTCCACAACTTAAAAGGGGAAAACAATTACATGATTCTCCAACTCATTATAACAAAATTTAAAAATCGAATTAGTGGCAAATTCAACACAGTTATGAACAAATCAAATATTATCCCCTGGAACATTTTTCACAGGGCAGAATATATATATAGTGTGATAGTAAAAAAAAACAAACCCTTTTTTATTCAGGAAGGCTTTTAAAGAAAAAGGTTGTTAAGATCAAGCCAGGAGCTGCTGTGGTTTTAGTTTTGAATATGTTTTTATTGATTTTAATTGAATTTTTAAAAATACAAATGATATTGAATTTTGTTTCAATGTTTGTATATTTGTAGATTTTAAACTGTATTGAAATGCTTTTAATGTACCGTATTTATCTGAGTATAAGCCAACCCGAATATAAGCCAAGGCACCTAATTTTACCACAAAAAATTGGGAAAGCTTATTAAGTATAAGCCAAAGGTGGGAAATGCAGCAGTTACTGGTAAATTTCAAAAATAAAAACAAATACCACTAAAATTACCACATATACAGTATATACATATGTGTGTGTGTGTATGCAGTTTATCGAGTCACTCCTGACACGAAAAAAGCGTACATAAGCCGACCCAAATAAAAGCAGAGGGGGACTTTTTCAGCCAAAAAATGTACTGAAAAACTTAGATTATGCTCAAGCATATACAGTAAGCCGCTTTTGAGAATCCCTGTGGAGATAGAAAGCAGGATATAAAACACAATAATAATAATAATAATAATAATAATAATAATAATAATAATAATAATGGATTTACCCATCATTATTGCCACTTCAGCATGATTTCAATTAATAATTGCTCAACTGTATTAGTATTTTCAACTTACAGCTTATTAATTGGGCTTATGGTGAAGGCTCATTCTTGTTTGCAAGGAAGGACCTATCTAGTATGGATCAGTCACATTACCTCCCAGAAAAGGTAAGAGATCATGTGACTTAAAAAGCTTAGGCATTCTACAGAGATGCCTAAATAATCTTTTCAGTTCTTTACGTAGTCAAGTCAATAGAGGGATTGAGACAAAAAATTTTTAAAAAGGCAAACAGGCCTTTCCCCAAATCACTAGAATGGGGCTGGATGTCTTCTTTGCAGAAAAGAAAGAATCTTCACAATTCTTCACAATTTTCTATTAACAGAGAAGTTGGCATCCAGCATGGGACAGGCTACACCCAGACAGACAAATATATCAGGCAGAGAGGGTTCCACCAAAACTATCTCAACATAGATGCACACATTGGAGTACACTCCTGCCATTTACAATATCTAGTGAAAGTGAAAGTAGCAGACGAGGATGCTATCCTGAATATTTCTATCAAAAAAATGTTATAGAGGAGAAAAGAAAAGCATCTGCAGAATGAAGGGAATGTGCTGTTGCTTCGGAATGTTTAGACTTTGTCTACCAAAAACTGAAAAATACGAGACCTCAGTCAACTTGCTAAAGTTGCAAAAGACCCTTTGTCTGTATTTACATAAAGCAAAAAAGCATAGTTCTACCACAAAAAGGTGACCATATCTTTAGCAAATTGACAAAAAGATAAAGAGTAATGGAGAGAATCCTCAGCTCAGAGATCCTTTTTGTTTAACTACTGACAATTAGAAACATTGCCTGAAGGGGAAGAAACTGAAAGCCATGGGTATCAAAGCTGTGAGGAGTAAAATGACTAATGCCCATAAAACCTTATGCAGTTGGAAAATGTTGTTGCTTTTGAGCAGAACTCAGAGGTTTCTCCCTTTTAGTCTGAGAATAGGCCACCTGCCTACTGTCACCACAAGATGAATAATTTTCATTGATAATTAAGTTACTTTTTTCCTTGTATTGTCGAAGGCTTTCATGGCCGGAATCACTGGTTTGTTGTAGGTTTTTTCGGGCTGTATGGCCATGGTCTAGAGGCATTCTCTCCTGACATTTCGCCTGCACTTTGGCAAGCATCCTCAGAAGTAGTGAGGTCTGTTGGGACTAGGCAAAACCTTTTGCCTAGTCCCAACAGACCTCACTACCTCTGAGGATGCTTGCCAAAGTGCAGGCGAAACATCAGGAGAGAATGCCTCTAGACCATACTTTTTTCCTTGTTTATTCAGAAGTCATGGGAGGCAAAAGGCTGCTAAAATTGGCTTCAGCATGGAGGGTCTTTGAAAATCTGATTAAGGTATTGTTTTGCTAAGGTGGAAAAGGAAATGATGGGCTGAGACTGTTGGCAGGAAAAAGAGAGGAAGAGAGGAGTTAATGATTGATCCACTCCCATTGAAGCTGCTAAAATAAGCTTCGGCCTCTTAAAGTGGCAGAGGGGCTTTGAAAATATGGCTGAAACATTGTTTTGAGCATAGAGCAAACTGCAGTTTACACTACAATAATTCATCTTAAAGTATATTATATATAAACTTGTTTACCTTCATTAAAGGTTTCCATACAGCATGGTCTTGGAAACTTGTTCGGAGTTGTTGCACAGATCTTGACAAACTATGCAAACACCTGCAAGGAAAAATAAAACATGAGCCAAAAGGTCCTTTCTTTGCATTGTCAGAAATATTTTTGAGAAAGCAATATTTACAAATGATATTAAACTAATAATTAAATTACAAAATAAAAACATGAAATTATCATATTTCTAATACACAGAACTAAATCCAACTGCTTGTTGTTACTAGAACAGGCTGCTGAATTTATTGTTGAATGGTACATCATTATGTATACAAATCTTACTTATTCAAGATGCCTGTCCTTCTTGAGCTTAGCAACTGGATTAAGGTCATAAATATGAAATCAAAATTAAAGAAGGCCAAAAATATTGTGGAATATCTTTTATGTATTATTCCAAAAAATATAAGAAGCACATTCCACTTTTTCGCTTGCTGTTATAAGTCTATTTCTTTATAATAGGAACAGTCCAAATCCACCACTACAAGTAGAGAATGAAGAACACACAGAGAACTTCTAGCAGCAGTAAACAAATTAATATCTAGATCCTACATGTATAGATAGTACTTTAGATAATTCACAGGAATCCACAATGGATCCATACTTTTTTTAAAAAAAAAACTATTATAATATCACATTTTGGGAGAAAGGCAGGATATAAATAAATAAAGTAAAAAATAAAGTAAAAGTTCAGTATAATTTAAAGCTAGTACCATAAACATGCATATAATCAGCACTATAATCTCTGCTTCCTATATTCACCTGTTAGTCCTAACAATGAATCACTAGAATTGACTTATCCTTGATGGGAGCCCCTGGTGGCACAATGAGTTAAACCATTGTGCTGGCAGGACTGCTGACTAAAAGGTCAGCAGTTCAAATCTGAGGAGTGGGATGAGCTCCCGTCTGTCAACCTCAGTTTAACATGTGGGGACATGAGAGAAGCCTTTTTACCACAGGATGGTAAAACATCTGGGTGTCCTTTGGTCAACATCCTTGCAGACGGCCAGTTCTCTGACACCAGAAGCAACTTGCAGTTTTTCGAATTGCTCCTGACATAAAAAAGCCCTTATCCTTGATATAATGCCGTTCACATTATGTATATTCATACCTGACTGCTGCTAAGCGCACCTTGATGCTAGATTCAGACAAACCATTCACAATCCGATCCATCATATTTTCAGTTTCAATTATCTGAAAGGAAAAGAGTGACGAAATCAAGTAAAGTGTTGGGAAGTGTTGTATTTGTACAATAATTCAATGACTATGTGATTTAACACAATTTGTTCAATAACCTACACTCTACATAAATTATCTAAAAATGTTAACTAGAAAAGTGTCACACTTGTACAAAACACACAAAAAAATCATATAGCTGTGTGATGAATTCAAACAAGGCAGAAGAGAGGAAAATGACTGATTAGTCTTTCGGAGCCCTAAGGCTCTTGGTAAAGATGCACAATTGTGTTTGAGACAATGGGAGAACATTTCCTACTCATTGTATTGCCTCAAGGGGATAGAGTAAGTTCTTATCATAACATATTCCAGAAAGATTTCCCTCTCTCACTGAGGGCTATTGGTACTGGCAAGCACCCCATCACAAACTCACCTTTTTTCGTATATCTTCATCATTTGCTCCAAGTGCAGCATAGAGCTTGAATGCAGCCTGACGGAGTTCATGCGCATGCTTCAAGTCATGATCAAGCTATTTAAAAATACCAAAAGCCAAAAACAATTTTAGTATTTACACCGCGAACTAAGTAATGTAAGAAAGTTAAATCACTTAAGTGGTATATAGGGCATTTAGAGTTTCAGACAAGGCTTTGTTTTTTTAAAATATCCACTTCATTCATATTTTTACTAACAATGACTAATTGAGCATAGTGTTAAAAAAGAAAGAAAAAGATAGGAAAGCATAGTGGATGATCATTTCTTCAACACTAAGATTTGATTATGCCTTGAAAAGTGAACATAGCTCCATATCTGCGGCATAAGAAACCAATCAGAGTTTTCAGCTAACCAGTTTCCCATTTAGTCTAAACTGAGAAATTAGAGTTAACAGATTGAAAGCAAGCAGCCTGTTAAGCCAACTTCAAACCATAGCTTCGCATCCTGGTTTGTTCCAAAGCCATTTCTTCACTTCAGAAAAAAATGGGAAACCTCAGGTGTATGTCTAAAAGACTCATTTATTATCCCAGCCTCGGCTGAAAGTAATCAAAGCTTCTATCTGTTTGCCCAGGTAACAAACAAGGAACTATATACAGTACAGATATTGGTCTGAGTAATTATATAACACAGATATATACTAGAGTTGCTTTTCAAGGCTTTTAGAAAATTTGGAATTTATTGTGAACTTACTCTTTTTATGTCAGTGATGGCACTCACTGAACTGGGATACTTGAAGTAGTCTGCAAGCATTGCAATAAGGTGGTCAGTAATACTGGCAATTCTTTGCAGCTCAATATCTGCTTCAATCAAATAGGCAAGGGTTTCTGCTCCATCTACTCTCTCTTCCAATAGTCTCTCTTTACTACACATTCTTGCCAAACATGGCAGTGTCTGGAGGGCACAAAAATGACAGATTGTCAAAACTTACATATATGCATCTTGGAATACGTTTCTGTTTGTTTCATTAGTTAGTAATTTGTGTTACTCATTCTTTATAAGAAACTTTGAGTCATTAACCTCAGCCATAACCTCCAGAGTGACTATAACTCTTTACTATATCCATTATTACTAAGGGGCTGGTCTGGCGCTGCATCATGAACCATTCATTGCAGTACTCCCTTCTCTTCCTTTTTTCTTCAACCTCATTTTATAAGCTAGCTGGCACCCCCCTCCCCCCCCCAATTTCGATGTGCAATGGGAAGTTGCTGCCAATTGCGAGAGAAATAAGGCTGAACACTGAAAGCCACTCACTGTATGACTATCAGCCTCCTCCCAGCAGACTTAAACCAAGGAAAAGTTTCATGAGAGCCACCACTCTTCTAAATGTTCCTCCAACAACAGCAAGAACATCTCTGTGGGCAGCAAAATCAGGCAATTCCAACTGGATGGCCCTCCATGAGGGACTTCCCTCAGGGGCAAACCAAGAATAGGCAACTTGGAAGTGTCTGAACAGACTCAGAAGTAGAGTTGGCAGATCAAAAGACAACCTGGCAAAATGGCACTATCTAGAAGAATCCTCAACATTGTGTGATTGTGGAGGAGAACAAACAACTCAGCACCTGTATGCTTGCCCACAATGCCCTGCCTTATGCACAGAGGGAAAAACTGTTCAAAGCTACAGACAATGCAGTCGCTGTTGCCCATTTTTGGTCTAAAATTATTTAACTGTTTGTGCTCCCTTTATTTTCTCGGTTTTATACTTATAAAACCAATGCTTTTGACATGAAATATTTTTTAAAAACTCATTTTATATTTTAAAATCAAACTCCAAGACTTGTGGGATCCATGCCTAAATACTGAAAGATTACACAAGCCCCCAAACCCTATTGAAAACATTCATGATGTAATGTCTCTTAGGTTGTTTTAGTATTATAACTCAAAGGCATTCCAGAGCTATAGGATGTCATACAGAAATTTGTCACTAGCACTTCCCATAGGTTTCAGGAATACTTGCAGCCTTTTAGAAGACAGCCTTGTATCTCATCATAGGGTATTACCTGCTTCCACAATGACCCAATTCCTGCCTTACTCATTTCCAGAATGAGAGTAATCACATACACAAAACAACTCCATAGTGAAACTATTCAAGCCTCATCACTATCACTACCAAGCGAACAATATTTCTTTCTGATCAATATATTGAGCCAATGTACTCACACGGGGCATCAACCACAAAGTCTAATCCATTTCAAAGGACTGATATTGCTGAAGCCTACACATTTAACAAGGTCAGGCAAATTTGCATTTGGCTATAAAGTAGGTTCAACTTACCTTTAATATAATACAGGTATCATCAGTGTGGATTGCTCCAGCTCTGCACATATAAGTAAGGCTACAATGAAATATCAGAAAGCTAATTTACTGTCAAGCAAAATGTATTTAGATAATGACAAAATATTGGCAGGATCTCCACGACCCAAAAGATAATTGCCAAAATGAGTATGTCTAAACCATGTGTGATTATATTTGTTATGAATATCCGTATGACACTTACAGGTACATAAACTATATCACAGACTAGCTTTTCATTCGCTATTTAATTACAGCTTTTTAGAACAGTATGAAAAAGAATCTCTTCAACCTGAAAATGTGTAAAACTCAGATTATTTTGTCATGACAACAGGTAAGATTTCACGACGGAGACTGAGAAGGCCATACAACCTAGCCTCTTTTGATAAACTGAACTACAGGTCAATTATCTCTAGCCAATATGGTACTAAGTTGAAGGAAGGCTGGTATTTTTGTTGGTGGAGGAGAACAGCTGAACCCAAGGATAATGTAACAGCTACCTTGCACCAGGTAGCACCGGGGAAACAATTCTCCCTCTCTTGTCTATACTAACTATTAATATTTCTCCAGGGTATGGAATACTTTTAACTGGTGTGTCAAAAGCTGAACCACTGAATTTGAATCATTTCACACAGTGAACACTGGAGCCCATATAAAAGTATTATTTAAGCTAAACATAAGCATCACAACTCTACTTTCAGATTTGGGGGATGTTATTATATGGAATGGTGTATACTATTTCTCACTTTTGATATAATGTAATAAGATAATACATAACATGAACAAGGAAATATCTTTTAGATACTAGAGAAGATTACCATTTGGCTGATGTGAGCTGCATTTCAATAGGTTTGTCTCGTTGTAACATCTTCACAAATATTTGTGGTAATAATTCTCCATCAACCATCACTGAAAACAGGAGAAAATATGTTTCAGGAAATAAATAAGTTGAGATTTTCTGTGAATTTGCAGAATGACCACCAATACTTTCTACTTACCATTTACAAGAGTCATAGATACTTGAGGGTTTTCAAAGGCTAAAACTGCAAAGCACTTCAGTGCTTGCATCTGAACCTGTGAAAACAGAGTATTTACATTTATCAAATTCAATTAAAGCTATCATTTGATAAAAAGATCTGGTAGAAATCCAGTGAAAATGAATGTAAACACACATAGGAAGTCCTTAAAAACAATAAGACTGTCACCATTCTGAGAAGGACTAGATAGGAAAACTGAGGTATTTGGGCTTGCTCTGGAGAAGATGGATCATAGGAAGACTGCAGGGGAAACTGTGGGATCAGATTTCCAGAAAGGCATGAATTAAAAAATCACACAATCTTGTAAATCTGTTTGAAACTTGGTTTTGTGCACTTGGGCTTCTGCTTCTGTTCCAGTAAATACCATTGGAGTTTACGTCTGTGTTCTATACTGAATTCCCTCCCATTTAATAATGTGCAGGGTCCTATCTTCACTGCTGACTTTTTCTCCTCATCTTGGCAATATACAGTTGCTTCTTACTTTCTCTGCCCTTAATTTGGGTAACTGCTACTTCAACTCCTTTATCTATTCTAAGAACCATTAGACTAAAGAATAACAGGTTGCTTACTTGTAAATGTGGCTCTTCAAGTGGTCATCTGTGCCTTACACAACTGGGTTTGCACCTGGGCAGACCCACCATTTAGAATATTCCTATCCCACAAGCCTATCTTATTCTCACCTTTCAACCTTTCACGTTTGGTAGTCTGCCATATAACCACAGGGACCAGACTGTGGGGATAAGTGGGCACATTTGTGTGTTGTCAGAGGTGACTGCTTGGTAAGCAATCTGTTTTTCTTTATGTTTTCTATGGCCCACACAATTGGGTGACTGCATACCATACCTTAGGATGGTGCAATTAATCACTGAAGTGAAGAAAGCACAGCTCATTCAAAGAATACATAATCTCCTGCTTTCACTCCAGTCTATAATATTGTACGAAAGCAGGTGATTGTGATCAAATCACATATTTACATACATTTAATATAGAAACTCCTCTCAGTAAAGCCATTGACAAAACCATCCTTTTCACTTTAATACTCTGGCACACACACACATGCTCAAAGGACCGGGCTAAAGTGGACTTATGGTATGGGGAGGGGCTACAGCCAAAGATATCAGCTCTAGAATATTCTGAATGATAACTTTACACAGGCCCAGGCCCAATTGTGTGAAATATAGACCATGGAGAAGAATATGACCTTCACATACTGGTATTGAGCTAAAAGCATGAGAAAATTAGGCTCTACGCTGTTGATTAGTAAAAGGCCAAGTACAAAGCCAACAGGAAACTCCACTGTCAGAGTCAAGGTGTGTTCCAGACAGAGTAAATCTGTGATTAAAATTACAGGAATTTCCACTACTTAGAATGCTATTCAAACAACAACATTTGGAACATTTACAGCATTTCTGTCCAATAAATTATGTAGAAAACATTAACTATGCAAGCTAAAGTAATACATTATAGCAAGTACTCCCTAATGCTTATTTAATTTACAGACAAAATCACAGTTGTTAATGAAGTTTGTATGATCCAGATTTGTCAAATTGAAAAACAGTGATAGGAAGCAAACTTATGTCCCCGTAAGAGTCATCATTGGGGATTCGAAGAGGAGAGCCTACCCATGTCACTCACATCAAATATACAGCTTCTTAATCCTCATGTTTTTTGTTTATTTATCAACAATGAGTGACTGCATCAAGTATCCCTTTTAATGCCCTTCGCTAGGCTAATCCCCTCTCAACTCTTTTGGATTTAAGCTATGGCCTCCTTAACATTCCCTTATCTGTGTGGTTTGGGTGAACTTGTTTAAAATACTCTACAGTCTGTTGTCTATGTTAATAGGCCTTAGCTTTCCTTTCCTCTGAGATTGTTGTATAGGTTTCTGCACCTCATTTTCCCATGTTTGATATGGATTCCAGAGCCTTGTTTTCTTTGTTTCCCTGAGAAAGTTACCATCACTAACATTAACCAAGCCGCTCTGCTTTGATCTTTATGCAAGTATAATCATAAAGATCACACATCTCAGTTATGTACCATAAGTAACTAACTGCTGCAGATTCAAAAGAGTTTCTGTGTTGCTCTAATGAAATCATAACATATAGTAACCCTGATCCTGAGGCCCCATTCAGACTATTTGCCTATTCATACCAGTAGAATCATAGAGTTGGAAGAGACCTCGTGGGCCATCCAGTCTAACCCCTTGCCAAGAAGCAGGAAAATTGCATTCAAAGCACCTCAGTATTCTACAACAGCTCTTTTTGGGATTCAGGTAGGTAACTTTTGCCACACCTGATACCCAAAACAATTAGGTCCTACTGGAAGCCACTTGATCCCACATATCTCATCTCTTATTGGGTACATTATCAGGCAGACACCAGGGCGTACAAACATCCATCACAAGCGTCTGATCTGGAATCACTCCAGGCAGCATGGATGGATTTCCAAATATTTAGTACATATTTAAATAATTGTAACTCATGTTCCATAGATTAATAATAGATATGGCTTAAGCGAGTTTATAAGTTCAAAACCATACAAGGTCTTATTTGTACTTGCTAGATGATGTCCTGATTGGCAAAAAGAGGTTAATAGCAACACAATTATCACACAAAAAGAAAACTTAAGTTACTTCACACATAAAATTTTAAAAATAAAATTTGGACTTATGAGGTGGCTGCACATGGGAAATATTTTGTGTTGTAAAATCCTCTTGCATATGTAATGGAAAACCTCTAAACCCTTCACCAACTAGTTCATTTGTTAATTAAGATGTGCTGTGCTATTTTTTAAAATGACTACAGGTCACAAATTATTCTTTTAAACAGCTGCATTACCTTGATTATATTTATATTAATTATAATTATCCTTGTCCTATATATTTAGTTGATTTATTAAACTTAAATTTCTTCATATAACTTTATATAATTTATATCCATCCCTTCTAGAAAGCATTTTTTTCAAAATGAACAACATTCAAACCACAATTATTAACAATTATGTAACAAAATTTAAATGTATATTAAAATAGGTCCACAGCAGCACAGTATTTTAAATACTAAAATCCAATAAACAGAACTTAATGTAATCAAAATTGCATTAGGACTCATACCCATAATCAAATTACATTGAGATAGTTACATCAAGAGTTTGACCCACTTCTTAATTATATGGAAGCACAGCTACAACTAATTATAGTCCACAGGTGATGTCTCATTTCCTTTCCAGTTATACCGTATTTTTTTAATTCTATGATGCCATCAATTGTAAGATGCACACTAATTTCAGTATCACCAACAGAAAAAGCTTTATTTATATCTATTAAAAAGTACTTGTGATTCTAAGACTCAGTTTTTAGAGATGTTTATATAGAGAAATGTGCATCTTAGAACGGAAAAAATGTAGAACATCCCAAACTTTGTAATGTGTTTATCAGTTCTCCTTGGTAGTTCCCCTTTGGATATATTCACCACGGGAACTAGAAAGGGTTCTTTACAAAAGAAGTTCTCTTCTCCTACACTTCTCATCTTTTCGTATGAGAGCATGCTGAAACTAGCTATTCTCTGCTACTTCTGTTCACAAAGGTGAGGCATTAAAAGGGGCCTAAAGTAGGGTAGAGTGATTCAATACTTTCTTTCTGCATGGTGAAGTGACAGACTACATCGGTTTCATGCAATCTTTCTAGACACAGTGCAGTCAGTTAATGCTTTTAGTCTACCAAAATACTGAGCACAAATACTTATTTGCAGATTGCATTAATGTGTTTTTATGCTGTGGTATCAAATACTAACTTTTAGAGCTACAAGTGCTTTCCAATAACAAATATTACATTATGGAAGTGAAGCTGTCTTGAAAGTTACCACTACCTGAGATTTTGTTCTTCGCTTTCTACAACCTACCCTATCTCCTCACCCACTTTTTTCCTGTTTCATCACTGAACACCAGAAAAATCCTTTAAAGCATTAAGTGGAGACCCCGGGGTCCTTTCAATCCCTGCTCTATAGAAAACATTGTTTGAGAAGTTCCTCACATTTGTGTGTGGGTGCACAGTTAACAGTGAAAAATATTTGCAGTCCTTTTCTCATCAAAACAAAAATACCGTATATACTTGAGTATAATCTGAACTGAATATAAGCCAAGACACCTAATTTTACCACAAAAACTGGGAAAACTTATTGACTCCAGTATAAGTTGAGGGTGGGAAATACAGCAGCTACTGGCTTGTTTCAAAATAAAAATAGATACCACTAAAATTACGTTAATTGAGGCATCAGTAGGCTAAGCTAAACGTTTTTCAATATTTACATAAAACTGTAAGGTAAGACTGTGGAACTCTGATTAAATCATTATTCTAACCTTCAATGCAAATGTGCTTACATATCCCTCCGATAATAATTAAATAGAATAAAATAATAAATGTTATAATAATAGAGTAAAATAATGGAAATATAATGATAAATAGGGTAAAATAATAAATGTAATAATAATAGAGTAAAATAAATATAATAACAATAATAAACAATAAAAGTAATAATAGAGTAAAATAATAAATGTAAAAATAATAACAGAGTAAAATAATAAATAACCTTGACTTAAGTATAAACCAAGGGGGCTTTTTCAGCCTTAAAAAGGGCTGAAAAACTCAGTTTATACTCGAGTATATATGGTAGTTAATACAACACTTTTACTCCACCCATGATGCTATTTCAAAGAAGTGGAAATATAAGTTATTTTACAGAGGATTATTTTAATGACTTACTTTATAAGATGGAGAAGTTAATAGATGAGCAATATTCTGTACTGCTCCATGGTTAAACAGGACTGTCTGGTGGTCTGGACCCTATTTTAAAAAGATAAGCCAGGGTATTAATATACTGACAAGAGAGAAGAAAGATATTATTTATTGTCTCTTCACACTTAAGTTCAGCATGACTAATTTTTGAAGTTTAAATTCACTGACTTGGAATCAAGACTAAAACTGTCTTTTAACTCTAACTTTATTGGTGTTTGGGAGTAATCCTAAAAGGAAGGTGACATTTCACAAAGTAAGAGTGAAATTATATGTTATATTAAGTACTGTGTTGCATATCTGCTCCTTTAAAATAGTACCCATGAGAGCAGAGAGGTGTACAGCAAGACAAGTTAATGTTTAGCTTTACCCTAACAAATTTCATTTTCATGAATCAAAATTACAGCTTCTCACACCAACAAAATGTAAATGAAACTTTTATCAGGCACTACAAGTGATTCTCAACAGCATTCCACTTAATATAGATATTACAAAAGAGAAAATAGGAAAAATGTACACACCATAATTTACATGGTATTATATACTAAATTATGATTATTAAGAAATTCTGAGCTTAAAATGTGATACTGCAATTAAAAGAAACTCTGAGCTTCTGTATTATAGAAGACATCAATAGCCTTGAAAGTACAGCTAAAGTGAAGTTAAGGTACTGAGATCTTAAAGCAGATCCAAAAACAGGGTTCCTTTTACAACATGAAAGCTCCCTGTTTGAGCCCCAACTTTGTCCTGAGATGGATCAGGCTCGGCACAGCAAGAGCCAAGAGAAGCCCTTGCTGAGACCAAGACAGCTGTTTGTAGGGAGTGGTTCTGGGTATCCTTTTCTCAGCTGGCATGACTGAGGCTTATGGAGATCAACATCTATGCACTACCTACATCTTCGCTCACTGGGAAATGGGCCCAAGCTCAGCTCTAAATGCTGCAAAACTTTGCACTGAATGTCTGGAAAAACATCCATACTCCTTCTCTCCCCTGGAGCATTCTGCTATTGTCAGCCTCAAAGTATAAGGGGTGTGTGTGTGTGTTCACATCAGCAGCACAAAGAGTCCTAGACAATCAAATATATCCTAAGACACACACTAATGTTTTTGGTCCAAATCCATCTACCTGACTATCTTTACTACCATCTTGAGCATCCATTCTACAGGCCACTCAAATTTGTCATTTGCTGTGATAATCTGAATTTGCTTCTAGAGAGCTCTAATGTGCTTTTCTAAACTGAAGCAGAAAATTCCAAGTAACTCACTGTACTAAAAAAACAGCAGGATTTTGTAGACTGGAGACAGCACCATTAAAGCAGTATGAAATTTAAATCATTAGAAATCAAAACCATGTGTTGATTTCGTTTCTTTGCATAACACTAAGGTTGCAGAATGGCATTACCAAGTTTTGACCTGAATAGAATTTATCAGTAACTTTGGATCTTCAAGTGGTTATCTGCGAACCTTTTTTTTTATCTGTATAGAGTCCCATTCAGAACTTTCTAGAGCTGAGTAGCTTTTTGTTATGAATCCTGCCCTCTCTCCCTATAATGCACAGTCCTGTGTACCAAGCTACGCTCCTTCGTTCAGGTGTTGACACATGGAAAATACCTGGCAGATAATATATTAGAGGGAAGGAGAAAGGGTTGTGTGAGTTCACAGATAATCACTCAAAGAACCATAGTCACAGGTAAACAACTTATTCCTCTTCTTTGTGGCCTCTGTGACTCACACAAAATGGAAGACTAGCTAGCTGTTTGTCAGGAACATAGATAGTAATGGGAACACAGCCTGAAAGAGACACCAAAACACTGGTGGATATAATGGCAGGTGTGGAGGTTACTGTGATAGTAATAAGGACAGAATCATATCTCCTGCAGAAGATGTAAATTGCTGACAGATGCCCAGACAAAGTAGGAGGTGGCTGCAATTGTTTGAAAGAATATGCAGATATCATAGTCAGTGGGACGAGTAGAATGGGCTAACTGCAGATCCTATGAAGGAGAATGTTTCAGAGGTCAGGAGGAGGTTGGAACCCTTTCTTCTCTATTATAGGGATGAGACTATGGATATCAAGACTGGTGTCAGCAATATTACTCATGATAGCTCAGGTAAGAAAAGTATTCATGGTAGTACATATTGAGCAAACTGATGCTGATATAGGTAGGATGCACATGAACAACAGCTTGGAGAGCAGAAGTCCCTACCATAGTTGGAGGGCAACTTCCAACAGTGATCTCTATAGGAGGGAGATTGTGATCTGGATCTCTGAGCACAAAAAGAGCCACCCAGTCACAGTGTTGAGAAAGTCTCAGTAATTGGAAACCCTCCTATTTCACAAATCCAAAGTTATTATGTCCAGAGGGTCTGGAACAAGCTGGGTACTGATCAAAGATCTAAACCTCCAAGCACCATTCTAAACAAAGGACTTCTTCACAGAAAATATGTGTCACAGTTGCAGCCAATCCCATTATGATCAGAACTGGAGGGCAATGAGAGCTTTCCTCAGGAATACGAAGGATAGTAAAGAGGACATGCCTTTTGTGGTGGAGTTGAATCAAACAAGAGGAGGATATGCTGAAACAACTTGTGTTGCAAACAGATTGTCCCTGGAGCTGGAGGCTTACATTGTTTTTCCATTCTTTTGCCCTTCTTAATTCTTCTTCTTAGGCTCTGCCACATCCTCAGCCATACAGTGCTTCATTGAGTTCTTGGAGGAAGAGGGAGGCATGAAGACCAACCACCCTAAAGTCAAAGGAGGACTATAAGAGTGATGGTAGTGAGAGTAATTCCAAGGTAAAGCAAACAATATACTCAGTATTGAAGTTATCTCAAGACAATTTAAGTCAGTGGCCCAAAAGAGAAGCTGGTACCAAAAGAGTTGTCAAACAGACTGCCCAGACATATAAAGACCATATACAAAGAAGGAGTCTAACAAATAGAATAAGAAGAAGTAGCTAGCAAGTGATTCGATATTGCTTGGTTTGCAATCTTCGATAAAGATTTGCATGCATGGAACCACAGACAAGAAATCCAACTGCAGAATGTCTGCTTCATAAAATCTCTACAAATAGAATAGGCCCGGATCTTGGAAACTTCACAGAAGCAGAAAGGCACAGTTTGTGTCTATCTGGACAATGTTGCCACCACAAGAAATTTGTCTTCTGAATTAAGGCCTTAGCGGCCATACAAAAAAAAATTAAAAATTTCAGCATAAAAATAGTAAAAGAAGAAAATGAAACAATCACAGTTAAATCATGTAAGCAAAAATAAGATCAAATATGATCAATGAAATAGGACTGTTTGATATACTGATTGATGAAGCAAAACTCCCCAATACTGTTGCTTGCATGATGGATTTAGAACAAACTAAGAAGGATATCTTTACACACAGGGATGTGTTCGATAAAGGACAGGAGTTGAGTTACCATCAAAAAGCTACTCCACCATAGTAGATGCTGAAGAAGACTCTGCACAGGCTTAAAACCAGTTTATGGGAATGACAGAGAATACAAAGAAGCCTCAGAATTATGATAAAAATATCTAAATAGCAATAAAAATGTCAAAAAGTTACTGTTGCCGTGGTTTTGCTTTGTGTATATTTGGAATAGGGGAAGTGTTTCCCCTTAACTAGTTACTGAGTTTCCTCCAAACACACTTCACTTTTAATGCACAATAATCATCAGTAGGAACTTACAAAGGTAGTGAAAAAAACTCTACTAACTTTATACTTTTTATCATACATAAAAATCTGATAAACTCTATATATACATAGAGTTGGCAGCTGGATGCTCTTGGACTGGGACTTTTTACCTTTATGATTTTGGACTTATCTGGTGTTTTAATTGTCAAATATATACTACAATAAGAAAGCAAGCCCATCCCATTCCCCACTCAATAATGCTGGTTCTACCATAAATCTGGCAGCTTCAAATCAGAGCAACAGAACATCTATTTTTAAAATGACTGATTTGCTGAATATAATATACATACATCTGAACTCAGTTGTAAATCTGACATTATACTGTGAGCAACCAATATAACAACATCTGACAGGAATTCAGACTTTTAAAAGAGGCTTCAGCTACTATTACTGACAACTTTAAAGTTGAAAATGCAATTAATCATTTTGTAGAAAAAAACTTACATTGGCACATAGAAGTGGCTGAGGCGAAGATTTAAAGCCGCAGCTATGCCAGTGTCGGAGCTGAAGAACAGACATTAAAAGATAGAATATTAAAGTCAAGCATAATTTTGTCTATCTTCTTTTAAAATGCTACATTTTTTCATGGGCACTGTGGTATCCATCCCTCTCCATAAGTATTTTCAAATATGATACATTGACTTATAGATGGGAGTTTGAACCCTGTGTATAGGGCCTCCTCGTGCACAGCATGTATTCATTCAATACTGAAAACAATACCACATTCCAATTGAAATATGGTACATACATTTCAAAAAATGCAATGACTTGAAGCTAGCATATTAACTACAACACTGATCTAGGAAACATAAAGCTCTTAATTCAAACCTAACTTCTAACATGAACCCCTTAAGCAAGGCTTGGATAAAATAGATAAACATCAATGGTATTATCTCTGAGGAATCTGCAGTAGTTCACTAAGGATCTCTGACATGACTTGTAAGAACTGTTTTTCTTTCAGTGTCCTTCACTGGTAAAACTGCAAAATAACTGGTTGCCTTTGACAAGATCATGGTTCAACCCTGCTGACCAGTTTCAGAAATATGTTAGAATTCTTGAATTGCAAGAACTCTCGTGTAGATTCAGGCTTAAACAGAAAACAGTCCAGCTTTAAGAATCAGCATGTCACATCAGCTCTAATTTTGGGTTCAACTCTGCTTCAAGTGACCATTTTTGTACTTGGTTCTCATTAGTGTAGCACACATTTAATAAGAAAAACAAATGGCATGCCTTAGTAGTTCCCAACCTGTGGGTCCTCGGGTATTTTGGCCTGTGATTCCCAGAAATTACAGCCAGTTTACCAGCTGTTAGCATTTCTGGGAGTCAAAGGCCAAAACATCTGGGGACCCACAGGTTGAGAACTACTGCTTTAGCACATCATCTGCAATGTAGATAACATTTACTTATCTACCCTAAATTGTCCTGTTAAGCTTTATTGAGATCAATAACTATGAATTACTTTGAAAATTCTGTCTATACCTTCAAGTTTCCTGTCATCTTATGATGACCTCATGAGTTTCATAGGATTTTCTGAGACAATGAATACTCAGAGGTGGTTTTATTAGTTCCTTCCTCTGAAATACAGCCTACAGAATCTGGTATTCATTGGCAGTCTGCCATCCAAATGCTAACCAAAATTGACTCTGCTGAACCACTAAAGTGCCAGAGGTCAGTGTTAAATAAAGTCAAAGTATACAGTACAATAGCATTGTACTATAAGATACTCTGGCAGCTGCCAGCTGCTTGATCATCTGCCTTCGTACAGTTATTTCCGAAACTGTTCAAGGCAGATTTTTTTAAAAGGAAGGGACAAAATAAGCAGATCTGTTTTAATTGGTTGAACTGTAAAAATGTCTTTCTTCACTTTAGGAATGTTTCAAAAGTCTGTAATCTTTTTAGTTTTTTATTGTTATAGCTTTTGTTCACTTTTTTGGATTTGTGCTGATGCAGTCTGTATGTTAAAAATAGGAAAGGGTTTGAAATGTAATGTTTAATCATTCTGATTCCCACAGGGTTCAAAATCCTCCACATTCCTGCATGAAATGCTCTGGTTTTTCAATAATTCATTAAAAGAAATATTCATATAAGTATTTTCTGTTCAGTTAATACTGAAGAACATAAACATACAAAGGTTATATTGTAAGATATTCCTGGAAATGACCTTCAGTAAACTGGCAGACAGCATGTGAAAACTATGATCCTCATTCACTGAGGATTAACAACTCAAAAAGGTACATTTCTAAAATGACATCAATTTTGTGACAAAATTATCACATACTACACGTTCAGGTCCAACATCAGCTGCTACAGTTATTTCTGCTCTAGAACATTTTGCATCTGTCTGAGCTATAAATTGTACAAGAATCTGACTGATGGAACATTTTGTATCTGTCAAGGGGGGAGGGCGATACACACATGCAAAATTGCATGTCATAGTAATACCACTTCAGATTGCAGCTGTGAGGTCATTGTGAGGGTTCTGCTTAATTGCCTGCCTTTAAAAAAATAATAGGCTTAAGATTGATTCTTCCAAAGTCATCCTGCTTTTGATGAAAAGGAAACTGTTTTACATTCTGGGATATTTCAATAGTTTATTCCATCTCAACCTCACTGCATTAATACTTATCTTCTCGCTGAAGTGAGAAGTTCAAAATAAAAGAAGAAACTTTCAGTCATTTTATATAGGTACCTTGGCAACAATGCTGTTTATTTGCCATATACAGGTAACCAAATACTGGTTATTAGATAAGGTACCATAATGTACTGCAAGAGACTTGCATGCATATGCTTGGAAGTTGCCTATCTACATACTTATGTAAACGACATCAATAACATAGGATTTTCAATGGTAAGGAATACCCAGAGGTGGTTTACCAATTCCTTCCTCTAAAATGTTATCTACAGCTCCTGGTGGCATCTCATCCAGATATTAATCAGGACTGACCTTGCCTAACTTACAAGATCAGACAGGATCTGGTGCCTTTAGTGCAGTGGTTCTCCACCTGTGTGTCCCCAGATGTGTTGGCCTTCAACTCCCAGAAATCTTAACAGCTGGTAAACTGGTTGGGATTTCTGGGAGTTGTAGGCCAAAACACCTGGGGACCCATAGGTTGAAAACCACTCTGTATTTAGCCCCTGCAAGAAACTGCTTGAGTAGAAATCAATCCAGATGCACTTCTTGTTGTTGATACTGGATTCCAAACTATGGGAATGGAGCAAGTCAATGGACCATTTACTCAAACACCTTACATGCACACACACATACAAGCAGCTTTGAGCAGCAAAGCAAAACCCGTGTATAAGTGTACACACAAGTATGCACATATTATTTAAAACCCTAACTACAATGTCATATTTTCCCATCCAAGTTGCCCATAGTGATATTAAAAAGGAAGATCATCTTGCTTTGCAGAATTTAAAAAAATGGTTCATGTTGCTCTGATTTGAGAGCATCAAATACTTTGACACTTGTCATCCTCTGACAGTCTAACTATCTACATATAGCGTACCACGCAGACTCAACTGCAGATTCTGGGGCCAAAATTATGGGTTTTTGATATGACCAATGAAAAAGCCAAGGACCATTCTGTAGAGTGGGGAAAGCACAATTTCTGCCTCAGAAGGGCAACCGCCTCTGCAGCTATGTTATTTCTCTGCCCAGACATTCAAAAAGGCCAGAAGCAGTGCCACAATAGAGTCCATATGAGCTTGGTGTTTCTATGAGGTTCACCTGAGATAGACTAATCTCTCACCTTTTGCCATTCTACTCTACTCTACTTTTGCCACTCAGAGAAGCTAGTGGTTCACTTTCTAATAACAGGTAATGTACAGTACCAACACTGACCCATGGATAAGTTGACCCACTTTTTAATTGATTTTTTTTTACTAAAACGTCTAGACTTATACATGAGTATATATGATAATTCCCATTCTTTTATTCTATTGCAGTAAAAACAACACTTCAAAAGGCCTCTAAGTAGAAAGAGCAACTCTACTATATATTTAGCCCTGTACTTCATCCCGAAATAACAAACACTTTAATGAAATAGTATTTTGAAAGCCAAAAGAAAACAGATACTTGGTTTTTAAAGACTCCCAGTAGAGAATATTAATGCTCCTTCTTACTTTGCAGCAATGTGAGAAGATCTGACATATGTATTCTTGAGTATATCGAGACCTACTGAGCAGTGCCATGAGGTGCGGAATAACTGTAGCATCCTAGAAAATCAGGAAAGAAAACTGAACATTAAAACTAAAAAATTAAACACCAGCAAGCAGTTATTGGCTATATCCCAATAGCTCTTTTCTCTTTTCTTCAGGCTTTAGGGAAACAAAAACCTTAAAGCCTCACAATTTATACATAACTGCAAAATTATAACCAGAAGATTCTGACATCTATAGAGTTGTAGTTGGTAGGAGAGAATGTATTGACATTCTCATAATATTGGTTATTTCAACTTTGCTTATAAAGGATTTATTTATAACCTTCAGCATTTATAAGAATTATTTGGAAACAAGTGGCTTGAATCTGCTAGAAGTGTAGATGCTAGCAGAAGCTTGAAAGAGCTTAAAATATTTCTTACAGAGAAAACATATCTACCAAATGGAATTCACTTTTATTGCCTGCACATTCTTGAATTTCCATTTAATATCAATGCTCTTATTTATTATTTATATCTTACTGTCGATATGAAGAATGTTTTACAGATAAACATCATCATAAGACAGCTTCCTGCTTGGAAAAAAAAATCTCAACATGATTTGATAGTCCAATACTCTATTAGACCTCTCACCCTGTCCCCTCCATGACCTTCTTTAGGTCTGCAAGACTAGGTCAATCATTCAAAAAGAAAGAAAGAAAGAAAGACCCAGTTACACATACCAAAGCATGAGAAACCCCCAATGTTTGCTTATTCCCTGGAAATGCATGATCATGGGGATTGAAAGTGCTTAGTATTTAGCTTACTAGGTTAAAAGCTAGACTGGTATGAGCAATTAAAATAAATTGCATAACAAGGGAGTCCTCTAACTTTCCTATCTGCAAATTATCCTCACAGTTGGAATGGAAAGAACTTCACAGACACCAAATCCTTAGAACTGAAAGCAGAATTACTTGAAGATTTTTTTCTTCCTTCTTATTTTCAAGACCCCAAAAACAGAGCAGAACAGGTTCCAAATGCAATCAAAAGGCAAGAAACCAGAAATCGTCAGTCACATCAATTGTTCTTATGCTCAAGTTGCTATTTTCAATTCTTTCATGGCTAACAAAGAACACACACAGGACCAGTGCTGGCGATAGTATCAGTGGCTTGCCTATGCCCACCACATCACTGCCTCCTCATTATTTACTTGAGCCTGCGAGAAAAAATGAGGAGGGACATTAGCATTGTATTCTTCTTTGGACATTTGTGGATAGAGACTGTGGTGTGAAGAGGAGGTAATCTTAGTAAGACCACTAATATGGTTCTCCACCTTTTTCTGCACAGCACCCTCAGTAAAGATAATGTGCTAACAAACTGAACAAAACCTAGCTCAATTTGTTGTGGGAGGACTGGTAACGCCTTAATTTATTTCAGTGTTCATAAAAGCTGCATAAACCTTGGAGGGCCCTGGTGCAGTGGTTCTTAGCCTGTGGGTCCCCAGATATTTTGACCTTCAACTTCCAGAAATCCAAACAGCTGGTAAATTGGCTGGGATTTCTGGGAGTAGTAGGTCAAAATACCTGGGGCCCCAAGGTTGAGAACCACTGCCTAGTGGAGCAAAAGACAATAAATAAATATCTTAAATAAATAGATGGACTTTTCAAATAAGAAGTATTGATTAAAAGGAATGTTAAAATTAAAAGTAGGTTAATTAACCAGGAGATGCCTTGCATTCCTCTTTGGGGAACAGGAAAAATGTAAAATAGATTATGCTAATCTGCAGCTGCTGTTATAAAACTCTCTAGAAGAGACAAACACCAGCCTATATCTTATCCAAAGTTTCCACAAAGTGTATATGTTTTCCGCAAAGTGTATATAAAAAACACAAAACGTACTACTTGAATACATAATGGAAGAGATTGGGAACTGATAAATGATGTATGTATAGCATATACTCAAGCTCACTGACTGGGGAAGGAACAATAGCAACTAACACATGGAGCTTCACTAAGAGCACATCTGGTGCTGGTTATGACAGTGAATGGTGCACATGCATATATGCATTCATAAATTGGAGGTGGGGGGGGGGAGGTCTTAATTTAATCTCGCTTCCCAAGATCCTAAGTAATATCTTTGTGCTGGCTGAGGAGACTAAGGAAATGTGTTTCTAAGACCACACCATCACCCACTATTTTTGCAAACAGTTTAAACATACTTCTAACCATTATGATACTTTCCATCATTATCTGTTCACTACCCTGGGACCAAAAGTTGACATTATTACCAAATAGCTTCAGTAATTTTTCTGCATCCTTGTTCACACAATTGAATTCTATTAAACTACAATTATATTCATTAAAAGTCAGCTTCTTCATCACTGCATTTCTCTAGCTAATGCTAGCATCTCTACGTCCAGACTCAAAGATATGCAATACAAGTACTTTTGTCTCCAGGGACCAGCAGAAAAATGAGGTGAATACCACTGCTGCTAAAAGTAGAAAGAGCAGACATTTTAGAGACTGATGACCCATCTCATATTTGTAAAAATGGATTCTCATACTAAGCAGAAACACATGAAGGTCACGAATTTCTTCAGTTCAGACATTATTTTTTGTTTAAATAAATTACATTAATAAAGGGGCCTAAACTCAAATTGGTTTGTTTGCTTTGTGAACAAATACCAAGCCACCATTGTGACAGGTTGTCCTTAGGATTGCCTTAAGTTGGGAATGACTATGAAGGCACACAATTATAAATAAATATATATGTGTGTGGGTAGGTGTTGTTGTTGTGTGCCTTCAAAAATTGTTTCCAACTTAGGGTGACCCTAAGGAGGACTTATCATTGTTTTTTCTTGGCAAGATTTATTCAGAGTGGGTTTCCCTTCATCTTCTTTCCGAGGCTGAGAGAATGTGAATTTCCCAAGATCACCCAATGGGTTTTAAGATTAAGCAGGGATTCAAACTCTGGTCTCCAGAATCATAGCCCTGTGCTCAAATTACTACACCACACCGCCTCACTGAATTTTTTTTTCTAGTTAATGTAAGAGAGCAGTTAATGTAAGCATATGGTTACAAAATAATCATATATCAAAACTGAATAAAGAAGAAAACCACAAATAGGTTGAAACCACCCTAAAATGTATTTAGCAAAAAATGGATTTCTCATAAAACATCAAGTTTTTATTGATTTCCAGTTTTACTCATTTGTATAGCTGTCATGATTGCTACTCAATATTCCTAATAAGGGAACCAGAGAAAGTCTTACTTTCATGTGTCTCAGCCAATGTCTCAGCAGTATTAGCTTCTGCTTCTTATTACAATACATAATAGTATCCTGAAAGGAAATAGGTCCCTGAAGGTGTGTGGTGTGAGTCCACAATAAGCAACAAAGCTTTAGAAATCGCCGTATCACTTCTCATTCCTATGCCCTTAGCATGCAACTTATGTTGTGATATGTATTATTTTAGTGACTATGAATGAGTTATTAAACCTACTATAATTGCAACATTTCAAAGACTTGTTTCAACAGGTAAAAATTATCTGAGTAATACATACTAAACAAAAGGTACAGTACATGAACTGATTTAGCAGAAGAAAAAATTTATTCACCTGCTGCCTAAAACTTACCGTGTACAATAGTTCTTCAGGAGTTACAGGGCTGGTGAAAATGGTGCGAAGACACCTGAGGCAAGCTTCAATAAATTTAAGATCTGGTGACAGTAACCCTGTAATCAAATATGGAGAATTTTGGGGGGCAGTTCTTACATATTAAGCAGTCAAGAAACAAAAAGAGCAATGAGTATGAGGGTACCCTGTAGTAAGGCTGGTATGATATGGCAGTCCAGTAGAGATTTAACGTTGTTTTCTGTACCCATTGCAAGGCTTCCTAGCACCACTGCACACTCGGTTTTCAGCTCAGTGCTGGAGGTCTCTTGCTGAAGCAAATAGAGCAACCTACACATGGAAAACACAGAGGATCAATTTCATTTAAAGGCATATAATCTGAACAGATAACTTTTATACATAAAATCCAGGGTCTACTAACATGCAAGGCAACTAATCAATGCCCCAAGTAGTCCTTTCTTGAACTAAGAATATAGTAAAGGCATGATTCTTCCTTTAACAATCTACATTACATGGACAGATAAAAAAAAAGTGAAGCAGTATCAGGGATGGATATTGAAGAAAATGGTTCTGAGAGCCAAATGAAACCAGGAATATGACCATGCTCAAAAAGGTTAAGAATAAGCATTAAGGAGCACAAAGTGATACTCTTAGGAAAGGTAGAAGAGAAAGACAATCCCTAAGAGATGGGGCGGGGGGTACTTATCCTAAGACACAAGGCAGCATAACAGAAGGCACAGAAAGAAGTCAGTGACTGGAGACAATGGGGAAAAAGAAAGGGAATGGCATTGAGCTAAAAAAAAACTTCAAATATGAACAGAAAAATCTTGAAAGCAGTTTTCATAACTTGGCCAAAATAGAGTAAAACAAGCATATCAAGTTCTAGATTTCCAATAGCAGCAAATGAAGCAACAACAGTGATTTGCAACTTCTTAAATTTTAAAATAGGGACTTGAAAATAAATCAAGAGAAGCTAAGTAAGGAGTGTATGATCTAAGTATCTTATGCAGAGGACAAGACAGAACTAGACAACACAGATACAAAAAATAACAATAACAATAACATGATCAGTGAAAATCACTAAACCATTAGGGATAACTGGGTAGGGTTGGTGATCAGGAAAATACCAAGCAAGCAAACTGGACTTCAACTTATGGTAGAAACAGCATGGACTGTTAGCCTGTCAGAAAGGTAATTTCACGCTGTGACCATCACAAAAGATAAAGTGCTGCTCCATGACAATACCACAACAAAAATCTCTCATGAATCAACTAAACATTAAACAGGGTGCAGAAACCAATCTGCTTCCACATATAACTTAGTTCTAAGATGTTTAGGGCCTTATAAGTTAGGAGAAACAGTCTGAAGCTGGGTCAACAGGTCTCATTCTGCCTCTCTCTCAAAAGAGAGCACAGAAAAACTCAAGGAAAAAATCAAGATACATTATTACTGAGTGTAAGAATATCCAGCTCAGTACCAAAGTATGTAATCTGGGTTGTTGTAGGTTTTTCAGGCTGTATGGCCATGTTCTAGAACATGGCCATACAGCCCGAAAAACCTACAACAACCCAATGATTCCAGCCATGAAAGCCTTTGACAGTACAAAGTATGTAATCCTTTTAATCAAAAATGTGACATTGCTTTGAAACAGAGAAAACATTTTGTGATAATCAGCCATTTCAATTACTCACATAATAGGTAACACATAACAGGTAACTATGTACACTGTTAAGACAAGACAATTCATATTTCTACCTATGACACATAAGTGTATCATCAACTGCTTAGCTGATAAATAGAGAGTTAGCCTATGGGATTACTGCCCATTTTTGTAGATTTCCTAGTTCTTATGTTTAAAACAAGTTTGATCAAGTTCTAGGTTGCCCCCAATAGATAATAAACAAAGGAAGATAATTTCAGAATGACCAGAGATTTCCAGGCAATACTTCAACAGTCATAAGGGAAGGCAGCTTTTGCTTTTTCATCACTTCACAACAGGGTTTGAAAAAGGATGAATGAGTTAGTTTGAAGAAAAAAATAGCTTCCTCCTATCTCTATTATAGTGAGATGGAATACGTGCTGATAAAAATGGTTATAAAATTTAAAAAACTATTTGAAAATGTAAATTAGATGTAAATTTTAAACATTATGTATTAGGATCTTAGCAAGACCTTACAAGACAATTTTTGAAGTCTCAATTCTAATATTTTAACTCACAAATTCAGAGATAAAAATTAATGCTTTGCATAGTGCACAACAGCCGTTTCAGAAAAGATGCTTTTACTCTCAAAGTGTGCGATCAAACCACAATCATCTCATTTTAGTGCTTCATTTTAAAAATAGCATTTTAAAAATAGCATCAGCCACCTTAAAACGGTGGCTGATGCAGTGTCACAAATTTTCAGTATTTGAAAATGTTATGCTACTATAGAGTAACTCTGTTGGGTTTTGTCCTGATTCAACTCAATTCCATATTAGTATACATGTAGACTGAAACATCTGTACTACATTGTACAGGAAATCCATTTGCCTGCAGGCAGTTATTTTTGTACAGAAAAATAATATGTAAAGGAGCTCTTTAGCAATTGTTTCTATTTGTAAAATGCAAGAAGTATTATTACGTTTTGTTATATTAGTGTTAGTAACATGAGTAGATTTCTAATTTGTCTCCAGCAATGCACTGAAATGTTGAGCAGAGGACCACAAGAATGATGGCATCCTAATGCTGAATCTAAGTGTATCTTCTATGCGAGATAAATTTGCCTTCCTGAATGCTGATGTTATAGCCTTTAGGGAATCAGAATGAGGAAGAGAATATCTTTAAAATGTGGACATCTTTTTCTTGTCCTGCATACACAATGTACTGTGAGATATTTTCAGAGGTAAGGTTAGGCAAATTGTCTGCTCATGGCCATTCCTGTCCATGGTTGTGATCTACAAAGCCAAAAGCTGCCTCCACTACTCCTACTTTTTCAGCCTTCTCCAACTCACTTTCACAGCTCACCTGTGGGTAATGTCAGTTGTGGCACTTCTCAATAATTAGAATTATGGTTTCTTCATCATTTCTTGCTTCCAATTCCCTTTATCTTACGTTTCAAACAGTTTTATTTGTGCACAAGCACATACAGACACGTTATCTGATCAGTTATGGCTCCATTTTATCCTCAGCACAATGCCTTTTTCTCAGGAAGGGACACTTGGTGTTGACTTTTCTTCAACAAGATATTTGAAAAAAAGTAGCACCTTAAAACTGAAAGAAATAATGTACCTACATGCCAAGTGCTATTAAATTCTATGGAACTTGATATTATGAATGTATTCTGTAAGTATTTTAAATCCTGATTTTGACTATGTTTTAATAGACTTGTTTTGAATATTTTTATTGTTAGATAAGCATTCCTAACTGCATAGAATATTTCACTGATCACAGGCAGAATATCATCACTCAATTAACTAGTGGCCCAAACTCATATATATTCAAGGCATTCTTACTTTTTTCAGCTTCCATATGCAATTCCAATTAGGGTCAGTAGTTAAACTTTTGAATACTTCTACTGATTATATAAACAACCCTCTTATTTTACATTCCTAGCAAAGACTGCAGAAAAGAACTTTCCTTAATAGGATCATGAGATTCTACTTATTAATCTTCTTTAGCGTTAAGTCTCAGAGATGCATTCCATATACAGTATTTTCTTTAACATCATATCTACAAAACAATGTGCAAATAATAAATTCCCTTTTCTAAAATATATTGCCAGATCTCTTACTGAATTAAATGAAGTAAAGCTCTCTTAATAATATGTAATCTTTATCTCTAAAGTAATAAAAAAGGATATGTGGTTGAAAACATGCAATGCAAATTAGCCTTACAATAACCAAAACACACCTTGATGCTCAATAGGAACTACCAATTCATAGCTCTTATATGAATCAACCTGTATGAGGCTTGCTTGTCACATTTTATACTATTGTACCCTATATATCAGTCTCTCTCAACCTTCATCCTTGTAGAAGACTTGGAATAATTTTCAGGGCTCAAGGACCCCCTAATAAAAAAACATAAGCTCACACTGTATTAGCCTGAACTGTAGATTAATAATCTAATAATATTTGTCATCAGAGCCTCTGGTGGCACAGCAGGTTAAACCACTGAGCTGCTGAACTTGCTGACTGAAAGGTTGGTGGTTCGAATCCAGGGAGCGGGGCCCAGCTAGGCCCAACTTCTGACAACCTAGCAGTTCAAAAACATACAATTATACCGCTTTGATGGGAAGGTAATGGCACTCCACGCAGTCATGCTGGCCACATGACCTTGGAGGTGTCTATGGATAATGGCGGCTCTTCGGTTTAGAAATGGAGATGAGCACCAACCCCCAGAGTCGGACACGACTAGACATAATGGCAAGGGGAAACCTTTACCTTTACTAATATTTGTCAATGCTTCTTTGAATAGGGATGTATTTTCAGAAAGTAATGTATGAGGAGGAATAAAAACCCAGGGAAGACTGAAATGATTCCTGGCCATGAAATGCTAATAAAAGTAAAAAATGGATCAGAGGAGGGGCGGAACCAAACATTGCTGATGAAACCTGCTGACATGAACACTGAACAGAAACATTTCACACTGCAACACTTTTGCAGATTCTACTTGTTTCTGCTTCTCCAGCTGCAATGTGCATAAACCTTGCTTCAACATGATATATTTTTAGAACGTTCTGTTCCTTTTTTGGCATACAATTAAAGGTTTTCTGTTAATTAACCATGGTTTCCCATTATATGCAATCCAAGAATTGATGCTCCAAAGCAGATCTGAAACTATAATTTGATGCAGATTAATCACTTCATGTTCCATAATAATTTCCCCTAACAAAGCTTAACAAAGGAATAAGTGTACATATAAGAATATATGTTTGCCATGTTCTTTATTTTTAGCATCATCAATTTCAATAGTTCTGCTTTAGCCTTCTTCTTTGATTCCTTTTCAGTCTATTATACAATATTTCCAGAAGATTAGTTTTTCACCCTCCCGTTTCGTCTCCTGTTCCTGTTCTCTCTTTTGCTCGCTCTATTAATTCTTCGCACCCAGATTTCCTTCCATGGTTTGTCACTAAATTTTGAAAGGGGCATTATCTGTGGCAACACCCCTAGAGCTTAGGAAATTCACCCGGTTCCTCTCCTGATGTCCCTTTTGAAGACATATTTATTCTGAAGGGGTGTGAATACGATTAGAGTTTCAGTGTGACTTGCTGTTGCTACTTTTATCTGCTGTTCCAGTCTCTTGCATCCATCAAGAGATTGCTCAGGCCTGGCTGCTTGCCATTAGAAAT